AAAATAAAAATAAAAACATTTAAAAATTTTTTTTAACGAATGAAAGTCATATTATTTTTATTATTATTATTATTTTTTTTTTTTTCTTTGTTTGTTTCAAGTTTTTTTTTTCTTTATTTTTACAGTTTTACAATTTTACAGTTATACAATTCTACAGTACAATTCTACAGTTCTACAATTCTACAGTACAATTCTATCAAATTCTATAGTTCTACAGTAGTTCTACAATTCTACAGTTCTAACATTTTCTATAATTTTTTACAATTAAAAGAGATCTTTTTTTTTTAAAAAAAAAAAAAACTTCAGCCAAAAATTTACGCCAAATAAAAAAAAATCTTAAAACGAAAAACGAAACCCCCAACAAATGGTCCAACTAAAGTTTCAATTCATTATAAATTAGGAAATACTTACTTTTTTTGATATCGTAAATGATATATATCAAACAGGAGGAGTTAATTAGAGTTAAAAGAAATAGAGAAACAGAGAATATAAACAACACATAACAGTACGTAACAGTACGTAACAGTCGTAAACACTCATAAACATTCATAAACATTCGTAAACAGTCTTAACAACAAAAACAACAAAAACAACAACAATAACAACAACAACAACAACATCAAACAATTATAATAATAATAATAATTTGAACCAGATTTATTCCCATTATTAAAATATTACTAATCGTTTTCTTATCATAAAATTTGAATGAAAAATTGTTGCCACATAAATTTGAATGAAATCTCATATAATCAATCATATTAATCACATTAATCATATATTACGTATTGTCATCTATTGGTTTATAGGTTGTTTGTTTATGATAAAGTTTATTGGTGTTTCGTAAAAAAAATAAGGGGGGGGTAAAAAAGGCTTAAAGAAGAACAATTGGTTTTTTTTTTTTATTTTTTTTTTGAAAGGAGAAGAAACAAAAATATAAAAAATTTCGGAAAAACTCATTGTGTAATGATAAACATTAAATATTAAACATTAGTACAAAATATATAAAGTATTCTTATTAAATACCAATGAGACTTATTTCGAGAGCGTGTATTCCACCTTTGGTTGTTTTTAAAAATAGTAAAAGTAAAAAAGAATCGTTGTTAACTTAATTATAACGATATATTGTAACCTAAATTAGGTTAATTACAACCTTTAATATTATTATTATACATGACAATACAAAAAGTGAAATTTTTTTACTCCATGAAATGCACAACATTGTTTCACTTAAAAACCAATTAATTTAATGTACGTATTGTACTTTAAAAAATTCTTGCATTATCAAACGAATGCACAGACTTTTCAAATAGATATCTTTTTTTAATGAAGTTTAGATCTGAAAAATATTCCAACTTAAAATTTTTTTAAGGGGGATAATGTAACCTCTGTAACCGCTCGGAGAATGTTGGAACAAAGAAATTTTTATTAATCATTGATGATAAGTAAAAAAAATGCATCATAATCTTGATTTATTCTTGTTATGTATACTTTGTATTATAAAAACTGGTTTTTACTTGTTTATTGCATACCCATTAAACTTGGTCATACCTTTTTGCTTTCAGCCTACTGATTTTTTTGGCGGGAATTTCCGTGTTTATTCCGTGTAACATTCATGTTCTTTTTTATCCTTGGTAAAAAAAAAATCCTTTCTCTATATCACGTGTTACGTGTGAAGTTTTTAATAATCGCGAATACCCCCCCGGCTATAATTTATCCCACGGAGATTAACAATCATGTAAATCCAGAATAAAACAAGATATTCGTCGGGCAGCTGTCAAAATTATATATATTTATATATTTTATATATACTTCATATATGATATTTTTATATTCCACAAATTTAAAAAAAGTTTAAGGGATTTACTAATTTAATTAAATAAAAATTTTTAAAAACAAAATAACCATTTGTAGTATTAAAATCCGATGAAAACTTTTTTTTTTTTATTATTATTACTTGTTTGCTTATTTATATAAAAAAAGAGGAAATTTTTCGAAGGATCTGCATCGACATTTGCGACATTATGGGATGATCAAATAAATAAACCATCAAACGATGTTTTTGAACCCTATTATTTACTGAAACATATATATGGTTGATCATCAAAAAGAATTTTCATTCATTGTTATCTACTTTTCGTATTATAAGGGGTGATTATATGATTATATGATTATATGTGTTTATATGATTATATGGTTATACGATATTATATGATTATATACGATTATATGGTTATATGATTATATGATACCACATGGATTATACTGTATATGATTATATGATTATATGATTACATGTCCTTTTTTTGGTGATTATGTTACAAATTTGGATCGAAAAATAAATATTTTATATAGGAATTTTACGAATATTTCTTACCAAGTTTAGAACTTGAAAAAAGGGGGGGAGGGATGAAATATGAAATTTTATTGTTTATTATCCTATTATCCTATCTACTATTTATTATTTATTTATTTATTTTAAGAACCCGGTGAATTTTATTTATTATATTTTCCGTAATATTGAAATGAGAAACCGGTTTTTTTCTTTCATTAAAACAGGTTTTATTATTTATCAATAGTAAATTTTTGGTTAAAAAGAAATTTTTATAATAATCAAATAATATCATTATTGATTTATTATCCAATTTTTTTGGACTTCGAGTCTCTATGATGATCTCACATTACCTCACGTGCTATTTTTATTTGCAGAACGAAAATCTTGTGAATGTGTAAATATGTGGAAAAGTGGAATCTTGTGAATATGTGAAATATGTGGAATCTTGTAAATATACAAAATCTTGTGATTATACAAAATCTTGTAAATATACAAAATCTTGTGAATATACAAAATCTTGCGAATATGTGGAAAAGTGAATCTTGTGAATATGTGAAATATATGGAATCTTGTAAATATACAAAATCTTGCGAATATACAAAATCTTGCGAATATACAAAATCTTGTGATTATACAAAATCTTGTAAATATACAAAATCTTGTGAATATGTGAATAACAAATTTAATAAAAATCTAAAATTATGGTATCCACGTCATTGTATACAGTAAATTGTATACAGTACACGAGCGAGCGATACGCAATTCTAAGAAATCAAACTTGAACAATTTGAAATACATCTTTTAATACATCGTTTATCGCCGTTTTCAAAATGATGTACGCAGTTAAATTTGAATAAACCGAAAACTGAACGAAATATGGACAAAAAACGGATGAAAACCGGGCGAATATTGGTATTCGAATATACGTACACAATTTTGAAAACGGCGATAAATATAACCAATTTTTTATACAAGTACGAATATCAAAGATATTTTGACATGTAGATGGATGGTGTTTGGGAAATTTCCATTTGAAATTGAGATTTTTCAATAACTTTTTCAGCTAATCCATGTTAGAATAAAATGAGCGATTCTTTGAATTGAAATGCTTCAAGATCCGTTACCAATCCGGTTAAGGTAAAAAGAATTGATAAGAGAACAAAGATGAGTAAAGTGATACGACCTTATTGAGTATTTTAGGAGTAAAAGTAAGTTAAAAAATGAATTTTTATTTGAATTTACAATTTTTGAATTTTTGGAATTTTTTTTTTTTTGGTCATATATTTTTAAATATCATCGTAAAAATATCATCTATTGATACTAGTATTTGATAGTAAAAGTAATATATTTAGAATTTTTTTTGAAACTTCGTGTCTTTAGACTTTTTTAGACTTATTATCATGATCTTTTGTGGCTAAATTTTCCATAAAAGTTATAGAAAGCCGGAATTGTCAAATTTTTAAGTCGGAAATTTTCTGATAATCTATTTATTTTAATCGTATATACTGTATATGTACAGTATTATTATTTATGAAATCCGTTAAAAAAATTCATTCGAAATAAGTGTATATATATATATATATATTATATTTTGGAAGGTAAAATAGCGTTTAATAATTGTTTGATTTATTAATTGACGTTTACAAATTCTGTTGATAATATTGATGATAAATTTTAGCAGCTTAATGTAAATATATCTGCTACCGCAGTAAGGAAGAATTTTGTTATCGTAAAACAAATTTTTGCGGAATTTATAGATTAAAATATTATTCAAAGTTTATAAACTTATTTTTATCCAAAATTCGATTAAAATTTTAAAATAAAACAAAATAAAATCATATTTTATTAGACTCAATCATTTATCATGTATAGTTTTCACAAAATTAAAACATTATTAACTAATCATTTACCAATTTTTAGTACTAATTTTTTGTCTCACAAATAATTAACCATGAGAATGTTAACCCGTAGACTCATTGAATAAGGGGATTAACGCAGTGTTGTACATTGGACATTGTCCGGCGATTTTTTGTGGACACGGACGTCCGAAAAATCCATGTCCGCGTCCATAGTCCGCGGACTCTCCGGACACAAGCTGTTAACTAGCGGATATGTACCGGACTGTACGGTCCGGGACTGTCCAATGTCCGTGTCCCATGACAAACACTGGATTACGATTAACGTAACCATAAAATTGACACCATTAACATTTCAGGACTTATGAATAAGAAATTACACTGACTCTCTCATCATCCCTCTATAAAAAAGTCTATAAAAAAAAAATAAACTAATTAATTAATTAATTCAAAAATTATTTTACATTATCTTACCATTCAAATAAAACTGTCGGATCTTTCGTTGCTCTGCGCCGCGCTTCGCATGTTGCGACGACTCTATAATTTGTTGAGCGCGGCTGCTTCATTCTCAAAATGAAAGCCATGGTATAATTGGCGGTTGACTTTACTTTTCTTCTTCCAGAACACAGAAAAAACCCAAAGACGAGGCTTAACGACTGGTAGCTTCATAGCGAATATGGCTACTGCCTACTGGTCACGATTGGATTTGTAACTTGAGACGATGAATCTGAAGTAGTAGTATCCTATAGCATTATTTAGAATTACCTATCTTCGTGTTCCTAATACATTAAGTTGACGCTGATTTTTTGTAATAATTCTATTTACAATAAACACAGGCGGTTATCCTGCAAAAATTGATAAGAGATATAAAATTGCATCCTGTCAAATCAGTAATATTATTTTCTTATTATTTAATGCAGCACTTCGTTTCCAATAATAAATATTTATTTATTTACAGCCGTTTTCATAAGTTATGGGACACTCCAACATTTTTGTTCAAAATTATTCGTAAAACTCGCTATATAATTTCTATCTTGTTTTGAATTTTACCGATGTCTCTCTGCATGTGATTTTGTGTAATAAAATATTTGTTAAAATATACATTTCTAATACAAATCGCGTCTCATATATCAATCTTATAAGCGGAGTAGCAATACCTTGATATTATGCACGTGTTTAAATCTCATTTTTTATTATAATCTCAGCTATAAAAAAATTATGAGTCATCTCGCAGAAAAAATTTTTTTCAATTTATCACTAAAAATCTAGATCATGACGCAATTTTTTTATACTCTGACCATAGCAGACTCCGTGGGAAAAAAATCTTTTGTATGACATAATCTTTTTAATAGCTAACAAATTTATATAAAATACCATCCTCTTTCTTATCATTTCCAACGTAGTAATTTCTACTTCGTAGTTTTTTTATCCTTTCCTTTAGTATTTTGTAATTTGAAACTTTTTATCTCGGAACGAACAGTAATAAATTTTTTCGTGTTTAAGTTTAAAAAAAAATACAACAAATTTAATTTTCAGTTATAAACAATTTACTTTATTGGTTAAAATTATTTCAAACACTGTGTGAACAAAAAGTTTCTTTTTCAAAAATTATTTTATATTTGTTATATATATTTTGCTGGTTAAGACCTCTATCACATACTTTGGTGCGGTATAGCCTATAGGACTTTGCTCTAAGTAAACTCGTCCTTAGTATGATTTACAGGCGAAAATAAAAAGAGGTAAGAGACCGGTTCCTTACTAATAACACACGCGTCATCTCAGGATACCGAATCATTATAATTTAATGGTTAAATTATAATGAGGGTACCGCGAAATCTTCTCTTACATGGCAGGACCATGATAAGGATCCTCATACGCATACTTTATTGGAGGTTGGAGGAAAGTATGTTAAGTGGGGTGGTTAGTATCTGATTGGCGGTCCCTAATAAGGGTGACGTTAAATTCCTTGATTCCTATTCGTTTTCTTGATAGATCTATTTATAAATTTCCTTTTGCTAATTAATCGTTACAGTGACCCGTGTTACTTATACATCGGTACTCTTTGATTTTATAGGTAATTTTCTGATAATCGGTAGATCCTAAGTCATATCATCTTTCTCCTTCTCTCTCACAGAATAGTGTTATCACTGCTATGCAAGGGCCCTTGCTAATTTACATTCATGATTTTGTCCTGCTACTGTAATTCAACCATGTTCAAGATTATTCGGAAAACAAAAAAAGATCTAAAGAAAAGAGGACTTTTAGTAAAACATCTTTAATTGATTTACAGCCAGAAGTAAAACAAGGTAAGAGACCTGTTCCTTACTGATAACACATGCGTCATCTCAGGATACCGAATCATTATAATTTAATGGTTAAATTATAATGAGGGTACCGCGAAATCTTCTCTTACATGGCAGGACCATGATAAGGATCCTCATACGCATACTTTATTGGAGGTTGGAGGAAAGTATGTTAAGTGGGGTGGTTAGTATCTGATTGGCGGTCCCTAATAAGGGTGACGTTAAATTCCTTGATTCCTATTCGTTTTCTTGATAGATCTATTTATAAATTTCCTTTTGCTAATTAATCGTTACAGTGACCCGTGTTACTTATACATCGGTACTCTTTGATTTTATAGGTAATTTTCTGATAATCGGTAGATCCTAAGTCATATCATCTTTCTCCTTCTCTCTCACAGAATAGTGTTATCACTGCTATGCAAGGGCCCTTGCTAATTTACATTCATGATTTTGTCCTGCTACTGTAATTCAACCATGTTCAAGATTATTCGGAAAACAAAAAAAGATCTAAAGAAAAGAGGACTTTTAGTAAAACATCTTTAATTGATTTACAGCCAGAAGTAAAACAAGGTAAGAGACCTGTTCCTTACTGATAACACATGCGTCATCTCAGGATACCGAATCATTATAATTTAATGGTTAAATTATAATGAGGGTACCGCGAAATCTTCTCTTACATGGCAGGACCATGATAAGGATCCTCATACGCATACTTTATTGGAGGTTGGAGGAAAGTATGTTAAGTGGGGTGGTTAGTATCTGATTGGCGGTCCCTAATAAGGGTGACGTTAAATTCCTTAATTCCTATTCGTTTTCTTGATAGATCTATTTATAAATTTCCTTTTGCTAATTAATCGTTACAGTGACCCGTGTTACTTATACATCGGTACTCTTTAATTTTATAGGTATAAATCAGTAGATCCCGCCAAATTCAGGTCGATATGATTGATAAAGTCAATAATTTTTTATCATCTTTAATTTCATTATATTTTATTATATTTTAAATATTAAAAATGATGATTTTTGCAAACGTTTTTTAATTATTGCACACTTTCAACATTTTTAGTAAAAGATGTACAGTACATTAATAAAATAGCTGTTGATTAATTTAATTTTTGCAAAGTAAAAAATGTATATATATATAATGAATAATAATACATAGTTAAAAATTTACTATGTCTAATTAACAAAAATATTTACTAATATTCGGATATTTTTGCATTCTTATTAAATTCTAATAATTGATCTGTGTCAAGTTTTCGATATACTGTTTGAAGAAATCTTTTAATCATATCAAGATTCTTTCGCCCATCTTAAAATATTACAAAATATACATTTTTTACTTGAGAATAATATATAGAGCTGAACTCTGTTTTATCCCGTCACTTGGTCTTTACATTATTAATAAATTTTCTTTTTCGGTATTATTTTTACTTTCTTAATGTTAAAATTAGTATATTGAGCATAAGAGAATGAATTAATTTTCGATAAATTTTTTTTTATCATTTTTTTTCGAAAATAATTTGATAACTTAATGCTTTAATTGATACTTAGACTTATTCCTGTTTTATATTAAGAGTATGAAGAAGATAAAAGTGTTTCTAAAATAAAGTCGACAACATAAAAGGAGGGTAAAGAGAGTAGAATAGTAAATTTTATTGACTGCTTGAAAATTTTTTTTTCATATACTGCATTAAATCCTTCTAGTATTGCTGGCATTAGATGGTGTACCCGCGGTATCTTGTGCAGTGCGGTGCGATATTTTATGAAGAATATCGATATACTGTATATATATATGTATTTTAAAAAGAAACTTTTTTCCTTAGCTGTAGAAAGAGGAGGAGATGGAAGTAATCATACACACATTAAAGCATAGTTCCTGCACGACACTACTATTTCTTGTTTCTTGTCAGATTTGTATAGTAACTACTTGACAACATTAGCCTTAATAGAATAACCATTTTTTTAGGAAGATAATTCTTGTTAACGACCATAATTCAGAAGGCCATTTTTAATAGTTAATATATAAAGTCTCTTATGCTACACCATATATATTAAGACCTAAATGTTAAAATTATTGGAGTTAATTATAAAAATTGCATAAACGGTCTCGTCAACCCGATAATATTATTATTGTATGATTAAACCAATTAAACTATATAGTTTAAATCATCCAATAATACAGGCAGCTGGAATGATACTTAGATCTCTATTAGTGAATTTTTCTTTTTAGTTTGTTTTTGATCGTAAATGAAATATTATTGGGTACTCACTTCTGGGTTTAAAGGTTTGTCTTAATTTCTCACAAATTTGCTTAGAATCTTTTGTACCCTTAAAATATCGTTTAAGATGAATCAATTAATGTCTTTATTAACGCTATATTATTTATAAGTTGGATAATAACCTATCCTCATGAAGAATAGTTTAATTTGATAATATAATATTTTAAATGATAACAGCTATAAATAATTTTTATTATACAAATCACAGTAATTAATAATGTGGCTTATATCAAAAATCCCATCTTTCTTTTCAATAGTATTCTGTATTTCGTAATTTTCCTCCTACAATTTTTTTTTACTATTATCACTTCTTTACACCTTTTGTTCTAAATATTTCTTATTACAATTGTATATAATTAACCATTAATTTTAAATCGTGATGATTTAACATTGTAGTTTCAGTTTTTTTTTTATTTGTAAATAGGTATAGGTGGTGGTGAGCAACTAAATGTTGGCCAATTCGGCCATTCCGTCCTAACAGCTTTTTTTTTTTTTAAAAAAAAAAAAATCGTTTTAAAGCCTAGCAAGTTAGGGAAAATAAAGTTTAAGTTAAAAAAGTGTTGTGCAAGTTTCGCATATAAAATATCTTTATGATGACGGTTTGATTTAACAATTCTAAAGATTACCGCAGATTTTCATATCTGGAAAATTACATTTTTGCAGATTGCCACGGATTTTTGTATTGAAAAATTACAACGTTCTCCATTTTTTTTTAAAAAAATTGGCCGATTTTTGTTAGAAATTATAAATTTCTATTTGTGATGCTGAAAATGATCTTACGCATTGTATCATATCGTATCGCCCAATGATCAAAAATAAGTGATAGATATTCCTTGCCCTTCTACTCTTTTCTCAATAGTATTTTTCGAGATCTACTCGAGAGCTGTTTTGTAACTTCTTTTATGAGCATTTACTGAGCCTTACGTTCTTTGTAAAGGTTTTTGAATCCTAAACGAATAATATCTCTCGATTTGATCTTCAGCCTTAACAAATAATAATCGCATTATATAAATCGGGTAAATTGCCTGGATCCGAGATTTCAGATTGTGAAGCAGTGGTACTTTGCGCAGAACTTGGTGATGCTAACTCTTCGATAAGCTCTCTCAGCATAGAGGACTCGCCATCCTTATTAGATGATTTTTTGCTTCTTATTGGACGATTTTTTGGGTAAATCACGAGCGTTTTTTCTGCGCATCATTTTGAAGCCTGTTCTACTGGAATCGTTTCTAAATCATCGGCAGGTAGGACACTTTTTGCGTGGATTGTCAATGCAATCATAATGCACAGCATGTTTACAGGATAAAAGACAGTATCTTTCGGGAAATCTACATTTTGCATGTTAGATATGTTAAACGGCTTCGTTCACTTTCGGTTTGTTGATATATTGTATCCTCAACGCCTTTCATGGCATCTTCCTGTATCGTCGGTGAAATTAGGATAAACTTTTCACCCATCAAGTTAGAAATAGCTTAATCAAGATGATTGCGAATCTCTCTAGTAAAAGTTGGAAATGGACACGCGCTTGGTATGGTAGCTAGAAGATGTTTTTCGATGCAAAACCTATGAAAGCTATGACTAGTATATGATAATGTTGTAACGCTCCGAGAGGAAGTGTTAATTAAAATATCATTGTTACATTCTAGTGCTGGAACGTCAATACCTCTATTAGCTTTATCATTGAAGCTTTTAAGAATATTGTAACCCAGATTTCTAATATTAGAAATAGAGGGTTTATCAGATGAACTTTGTTAATTACCTTTGCAAATCAATAAAAGTGACCAAAGAGCTGAAGGATTAGCATATACATCCCCGTAACCCATCATGCGAATTAATGATTAGCCCCCAAAGATCCTCGGGGTGATTAAGCTGACTTATTTTGAAAACAATTTCTCGTTTCAGAATACGTTTTATTATTTTAAACGATGTGAGGAAAAAAGGGACATGACACTCAAAAAAATAAATACAAATCGAGTCCCTTGACCTTTCGATCTGCGGGACGAGAAATAGTAACAGAAATTTTGATATGAAAAAAAATATCACATAATTCTGTTATCTTTCCGCCCTGAAAAAAATCATTTGGGGTAATAATCTGAATATATGTAATTCTCACGTCACACGGCCCTTATTCATTTCGGCAAGAATTTTTCTGATATCATTCTCTGCGCATTTTTTCAGGTGATCGGATACATATGACCGGCCTATGCCACAATCGCGAACTTGAATGAACTGCAGGCAAGACAATATTCCGTTCAAATGTTTAATTACTATTCCATTTGCTATGTAATTCATAATTCCATGTTTTCCTTTGCAAATAGGACATCCACCCATATTCAAATATTTTCTGCAGATGTGTGACGTCATAAAATCCAAAAAAATAATTACGAAAGTAGTCATTTATTACGTCACGATATGGGCAGAACCTTCATTTAAAATATTTTATTGTGATAGATATATATTTTATTTTTATTTTTTAATCCATGTGAACAAGATTACAGAAAGATAGACAAGAACTAATTAAAATAAAAAAGTCAAACGCTATCTAAACTACGCTATAATCAAACCGCCCGAGAACGGTGCCATCCTGGTGCGAAAATATAAAAGAAACCGTGGAGGATCATTGTGATAGATATATAAAAAAAGTGCTAAGCTTCAAACTAAGAATTTCAAAATCACGTGATGCATCAATACGGCTGACATGTTTTAAATTCGAATCTTTGGATGTCCAGTCTTTTCAGACTTTTGATATAACCATTTAATTTTCAGTTATCAAAAATAACATAAATTTATATACCTAATTTATTGAAACACAATTTTTCATATGGAAAAAAAGACCATAAAACCTTTGATTGCAAAATTTGTACCTAGTAAATTTATTGATTAATATGCATCAGCTATTAAATGTGACAATAATTAACGTGAATTAGCGAAGTTGTATTCCCAAGATAAGTTGGAATATTATCTTACCTGCAAGCACTTCAAGCAATAAACTTAAGTTCAAACAGTCTAGTCATGCGGAATCGATCACCTGAAATGCGCAGTATGATATTGCCGAAATAGGGCATGTTATGTGTGCGGCGGGAGTCAAAATTTTATTTTTTCTTATTTCTAAATCTTAAAATAATAATAATAAAAGTTGTTCTTTGTGATAAAATCTATGAATTTTATTAAGATTTGGTATGGCGCAGGAAATTTAATAACTAAGCGAAAATTTTTTTAAATCATTATATATTGTAATACACTCATGTATTATTATGTTACAAAAACAGAAATTGTGTAATGACTGCATCAGGTAAAGATGTACTCCATAAGTATATTACACAAATTTTCGATATGATGACAGACATGATGAAATTAATCATTTAATCACTTAACAAACTTTTTTCCCTAAGTATTCAAAGTATTCAAGTATGTCTCAGTCTCAGTTTCCAAGGTCTCTTTTTTCCCAATTTACGGAAGACGAACTAAAAAAAATAAGCGAAAGCTATAAGTCTTCTGTAAACTGGACCGAACACAACAAGTGGCTCAAGGAAGGACAACCATTTGAGGAACACGAAGAAATCGAACTGTTTTACAAATGGATCTTCTCAGAGACAAGTATCAGCTGGTAAGTTTATTTATTTGTGTCTATTTTACTGCTTCATTTATATATATATATGGCTAACTTTATTTTTTTTTAAGGGACCGAAATATGTAACGTTGACAGAAGACGAGAACAATCAATTGGAGTCAGACCTCGCCGCAGTGAAGGGAAGGCCAATCATAAGGCCGGGAAGAAGTGCTATTTTACAACTCCCTCCGCAAGATCCAAAGCCGAAGCTGTCACTTTTAACGACCGTGAACATCGTGGTGAAGTTCCTAAATCCAAAAAAGTATCCGGTGCTAACAAGACATACAACGCAGATGCTAAAAGACTTAAATGATGCTGGTTTATTAAATGATGTCGTAGGTTTTTATATTAAGGCTAGAGTTAGGGAATTTAAAAATGGAGAAATACGTTTGAGTCCCAGTGTTGATATTTATGATATAGTTCCCAAAGGTTCATATATGTATGCATTAGTATTACCTAAAGGTCAATATTTGATGTTGCGACATCTTCGTGAGGAGTGCTTCAAGCTTCAAGCTTCAAGTATTGGATCCGCGTTCAGATGCATTTCATTTTTTAATAATCACGATACCTATTCAGATTTTCTTTCAAATTTCTTTTCTAATAGGACATATAGTCCATAATAACATTATTCTTGCTTTACTAATAACACGTATGAACCCTAATAATTTTTAAATAATCTTACATCTCTGCTATAATAAATATTTCCATTCTGCGTTTACATGATTTTCACTTTTTTACATGTAATAATTGAGGAAAAAACCAGTTGATCTTGACTGATCATTATGTTTTTTTTTGTAGGAAAGTGAGGAATATTGAATGATCGGATATTTTATGATGCGATTGTGCTTGTGATCCTAATGGATGAAGAATTAGAGTATCTCTTCTCGAAACCATCACTTGACTTTAGTACTTAATTTTTCGGAATGATAGAGAGTTCTGCATTCTCACGTTATACACGCCTGGCGTTAGAGAAAAATTCCCTATAAAAAGACGTGACTTCAGTTAATTTATCAAATTATATTCATCAATGACAATAGTACATTTTTATTCCATATGTCAAGTAAAACTATGGGCATCATTGATCCAGATTTTCGTGATGCGGTCAAAAATACATAATTTTCATGGATAAAGAAGTCGGTTCTTGGATCCAAAAATGGTGTACGAAAACATGCTTCTATTAAAGTGATAAAACAATCTTTTTTGCATTTTTTTTACTAATAATTATGACAAAACTGTTATTTGATAAACAAAATAAATCAATTTGAAATTAGTTTAAATTCTTTTCAATATTCTACTTCTATAAGTTCACTTTTATCCACTATGTGCAATTTTATCGTGGTGCAATAGAGGGATCCAGAAAGTATTATACATTTCTAACAGATCACGATAGGTTGATTGGTGAAGAGCTATTGAGTCGTGGTATTCTATAGTGCCATTTAAGCACTGCATGGCTAGATAATCTTATGAAAGAATGGAAGCAAACTCAACCCAATTTATATAAGTTTTCGCTTAGGCATCCTAAAAAACTCCGTCATGTGAGATCGATCACCTGAAATGCACAGTACGATATCAGTATATCCGCTTCAATGAAAAATTTTTTTTTCCTTTCCCAAGGTAAACGAAATTTCGCAACCCGCAAATACAATCTTGCAACTATGTAAATAAGCAAATAGAACGGGCATATTCACTATGTACCTCAGTGTGAAAAAGTGCCAGTGAAAATAATGGAGACGAAACTTAGCAAAGCACCGGACGAGACATTACACAATTAACTTTCGGTTTAGGCTTAGCATTTACAAGAAGGCGTCTTCAGAGCTTGTAACTACTAATACATAGTTTCCCTTTCAAGGTTCTCGTTAGCGTCACGACCGATGAAACGGAGGTTAGGATGAAAACAATGAATATAGCGGGTTATTGAGTGGTACATAGAAAGGCTAAAAGAATGCTCGTCAAGGAAGTTACAAAACAGCTTCCAGGTGATCTCTCGAAAAATGCCATTGAGAAAAGAATAGAAAGGGGAAGAAAGGTTTATGATTTATTTAGTGATATCTGTTTCATAATGCTTAATTCTTATATATATTTTATTTTTCTTATTGTTATAAGTTTAGTAAGTGTAGTTATATTAAGACATGATCGCATCTATAAAAAATGAGAAATGGGTTTTTTATTAGTGAAATGGGTTTTTTCACATCTCTTTTACATAATTTTGTCAAGTGATCATCAATCAGATGATTTTTTGGTATTACAAAACAATTTTGAGTAACGAAAATTGTGAATAACTCTTTTTAATGTAATTAGCCCATATGCTTTAGTATTAATTAAGTTATATTTATCTTCAAAGCATGGAATTGATTTACCCCAAGATTTCTAAGTAAAATTCTACCCCACGTGAACCGGTGATGTTTAATGGGCGTGAAAATAATTTTTTTCACCACAAAATTTTCTGTCCCCAGAATACTCTATATGAAAAAATGAAAACGGTGGGGCGTGACACGGGTGACATTTTATGCAGGTCACGTGGGGTGAAAAATCTTGGGGAAGATCATATTCATTGGCCGATTGTTATTTGTTAAAAGAAATAGTTTATATTGTAAAGCTTGGAGTTAATAATATTTGAAATATAATAAATTTGTCTCTTTTGATCATAAAGCTATTATATAACAAAAGTATGGATTACGGATGGGTAGCGGGTGAGTTGACGCGCGGGTCAATCTAATTATTAGTTTTGGTGAAATTTCTCTTTTAATAACGGTTTTTTTTCGTGTGAATTATCCAACAAAATTCTAATAACTCCTTATATGATAGAGTTTTATCATCCATGTGCGAGGATCAACTGTTGCTCTTGTCAGCATATTTATATCATGAATCAACAAAATTTTTTATGTTCAAACTTTTTAAAGTCCGAAGAACATAGTTTATAATAATTACAACAGATGATATACAATTAACAATATATTAAAAAATTCCTGTACGTTGTATAAATTGTTGATTTGTTGTGTTACCTTTGCCCCTTTTAACTTTTTAACTTGTGCATTTTTATTTTGTCTTCTCGTGGTTCTTCTCGTGGTTCTTCTCGTGGTGAACCCTTAATATGGCGTCATCATAAGACAGGAATAGTATAAGTACAACATAGAACAAATCTAAATTTATACGTAACATACGACTTATATAGGGTTTATAAAAAAACCCAATTTTGAATTATTTTTTTTTTTTTTTCAAGAAATGACATTAGCAAAAGATTTAGAGATATTAATAAACAATCCAAAGTTTAGTGATATTGAAATTTTTTGTGAAAATGAAAAGAAATTATATGGTTGTAGAGCAATTTTAGCAGTAAGATCCAATGTATTTTATAAACTACTTTATAATGGAAGGTATGAATCCCAAATTTCTTTTCCAAATATTAGTTCTTTTGGAATGGAGATTGTATTTGAGTATATTTATACGGGGTCAATTAAAGAAGAATCTTTAACAAAAGGCAATATACTTGAAGCTTTTTACGCTGCAGACTATTTTCAGTTATCAGGAATTCAGAGGATTATTATTGTGAAAACTTACAAAGATACACTAGAAAAAAGTTGTAATGAAAACTATTCACCGGAAATATTGTCTAAACTTGCGGAGACAATACCATTAACAGATGATAATATTTTTCTAAGTTCATTGGTTGATGCAATGGCAGTTATTCCGTTGAATACCATTGAATTTGGTCGATTGTCCATTAAAGGTCTTCGTTATTTTTTATCTTGTACAGAAAAGCCTTTTACAACCCCAGAATATGAAGTTTTTCGATACAGTGCTATTCTTGCAGCGAAACAAGTTTCTGATGATGCATATAAATTTTTTATGGAACGGTTACCAACCTTAGAACAAATAGAACAAAATGAAAACTTATTACAACCAGAAATTAAATTTATTACCGATCATCAAAAAGTTGCTAAAGAACTGGAGCCTTTGACTGAATTTATTGATTTCAGGCGAATTAAGGGTCAAATATTGGTTGATATTATCGAGCCACTAGAAATTGTTCCAGCTAAAATACTTTTAAAATCAAATGATTCCAATTTAAATAATAGATTATGTTTGGGATAAATCAGCATGTGAGATCAAATGTTATTATTAAGGATGTACAAGTAGTTTAGTAGGTGAAAGTGCTAGAGCTAAAAAAGCATTAGAAAATAATGATATTTTTGAATGGGATGTTATTATTGAGAAAGCTTGTAATGATTCTTGGGTTAGAGTATGTACATCAGAAAATTTCAATTATGAAATCTGGGCAGGTTGTGAATAAAATTCAGTTCAAACAAAATTATTTCCATCGCAACAAATTCAATGATTGATTGACTCTATTTCAAAAAAAAATTCATGATATATCTGAAAATTTAAAGCTTTTTATTGTAATTTATCTGTTTTTTGAGTGTTCAAGTCTAAAATCTTGCGATCAGTTAAATGTCTAATTAAATCAAATATTTTTTGATTTAAGGCCAATAAGGGACTTTTCTCATACCAATGAGTTAAATATAAATGATAAATACATTGCATCATGATATGTCACAATAATGTTTTTTGCTACGATAGTATTTTATCAAATATAATCGACATCAAAATGTTATTTATATCAAAAAAAAAAAAAAAAGTAATTCTTAAAAATAACGATAATCGTAAAAATTTACGTAAAAAAAAAAGATATATGATTGTAGAGCAATGATTAAACTTGATCTTTAAGTACGTCTTCTTGTTCAAATTTTTTTTAATTATCTTAGTAAATGAAGACTGAATGTATTCAAGGTTCACTTTTGTATAAAAAAGTTAAAATGGGGGGACAAGATCTTAGGCTAAAATCGAACTAGCCAAAGCAGGCATGCTCTCCAAGTAGAAATTTTATTACCGATCTACCTTCATAATAAGATACTGCAGACAAAATTTAGGAGATTAATATGATCTATCCGATAATGTATATTAACGTTTCGAAATTTTCAAATAACAAAAAGCTTTCTAAGGTGAAAACTACAAAATCATTGTTAATTTTTTCTTTGATTTAAAGTCTATATTACTTATTACAGCCAGTTTCGAAAAATGTATTGAGTCGCTCACTTTCTCTGCCTTGTGTTCAACCTTGGTTGTGGTGCTTATCAAAAATTCACGTTGCGTAGGAAGCTTACAAAAATTCAATCAATTTGCGATTTAGTTGCAAGATTTGATTTTTTTTTTTTTAGGTTCGATTAATCGGTTCCTTATAAAAAAAAGTTAAATTTAATCTGGAAAATCATTTTTGCAAATTTGGTCACATGTCATTAAAATAACAATTTTAATGTTGCACATAATACAGGGGAAAGGTATAACTCTGGAAAATAGGGGTTCCTTTGACAACATGTAAGGTTGACGGTTGACCCATTCATTAATTATTCCTTTTTCTCTCTTACATTCTCGTGAAAAAATAATGGATGATAAATTTTTACCAAAATTATCACAAAATTTGCTAGAAATTTTAAATGATGAAGAATATTATGATATTACAATTGAAGTTGGTAATGATCCTTACGTAAAAATATTTCGTGCGCATTTGGTTATTTTACATTATCGTTCTCCTTGTTTAAAAAGAATTTTATCAACTAATAAAAAGAAAAATGATGGAAATATAACACATATTAAATTACCAAATATTTTACCTGAAACTTTTCAAATAATTTTAAGGTATGATAAGAAAGAATTGTTAAATAACAAATAATTGTTATTTTTTAAAAACTTTTTTTGAATATCTGTATTTTAGATATATTTACGGTGGAAAAGTTCCTTTGAATGAACTTGATAGTTCAGATATAATTAAAGTCTTAATTGCCGCAAACAAACTTGGTCTTCAGGAGTTAATCACCTATTTACAATCATTTTTGGTTAAAAATAAAACAAATTGGATGGAACAAAATTTTGATTTGATACATCAAACGAGCTTTGAAAATGATACTTTCTTAGAACTTCAAAATTATTGTGTTGATTTAATGTCCAAAGAACCAAATAAGATATTCAACACAAAAAAATTTTCCTCAATTCCAGAAAAACTTTTGATCTCAATAATTCAAAATGATAATCTTCAAATGGGTGAAGTTCAAGTTTGGGAACATGTGCTTAAATGGGGAGTTGCTCAAAATCCTGAACTTCCCTCCGATGTCACGAATTATTCGGATGATGATTTTAATACTTTAAAAAATACTTTACAACAATGCATTCCATTCATTAGATTCTATAATTTAACTTCTAAAGAATTCTTAGATAAAATATTACCTTATGAACAAATTTTACCAAAGGAACTATATAAAGATTTATTAAAAGCTTTTATAAGTCTTTCAGATCCTAATAGCAAACCAAGTGATAAATCAAAACCTCGTATACCTAAAAAGATCGATTCAAAAAATATTAATTCAAAGATTATTACATTTCAACATAGTGAATTAATCTCAAAATGGATTGATAGATTAGAAATTACTGACATGTTAACTTCCTCATATGAATTCAATTTATTATTTCGCAGTTCTCGTGATGGATTTAATGCTAAAAAATTTCATGAATGTTGCGATAATCAACCTCGCACTGTAACAATTATTAAGGTGAAAGACAGTACCGAAATTCTTGGGGGATATAATCCAATTGAATGGAAATCTATTGAATCTTATTATTATTCTTATAACATTACTAAAGATAGCTTTATATTCTCTTTTGATAATGATAGAATTGAAAATTACATTTTAAGTCGTACAATTAAAGAAAAAAAAGCCATAGTTAATAATTTTGATTTTGGACCATCATTTGGACCAAGTGATCTTGTTGTATGGGGATGGTTTGGTAGTTACGCTATGAAAGACTCTTATGAAAAACAGATTAGAAAAACAAAAGATAATTTTACAGTCGAAGAATGTGAAGTATTTCAAATTTTATAAGATTGATGTTTGAATTCTTTCCCTATGCTTTAATAATTATTATTAAATCTCAGCTCTCAACAAAGATAAGTCTATAGATACTGTATAATAGTGTATTATACAATAACGACGCAGACACTCTCACGTTCTATTTATAAAGTATATAAAAATTATGATAAATAATTTTTAAATTCTTAAAATATGTAAACAATTAATTTTTATCATACTTTATTTACTTTATTTAAAATAATTCATGTTGATTTGTGTATATATTAATTACATATCATATTGTGACATATTCCAATAAAAAGTATCTAGTAAAAAATATTTAGTATTAAAAAACTAAATCATTTTCATTTTTTTAACTGTTTAATTAATATTTAAATTTTTCTTAATCATAAACATACCTACCTTGTTGATCAAGTACGAAGTCTTTGGTCGTCACTTGACTTGGTCGATCAAGATCAGCCTCGTTTATAATTCATCTCGTTCATCTCATTTCCTTTAGTCTCCTTCCTCTCTTCCTCTACTCCTTTACTCCTTTTTTCTTTTTCTAATTTTTTTTGTGACCATTCTTTCACGGAATGTCTAAAAAAATTTACTTTTTTGATGTAAATACGCATAAAATAGTTGACATCAGACCAATTTGGTTGTAACATTAAATAAACAAAATGAAGAATGTAAAATTAAAATAGACTTATATTTAAATTTGTCAAAAATCTCAATATTCCTACTGTTCGTATACGTTAAACCATCCAGACTTTGTGCATCAGAAATCAGTAATATACACAATTACGGTAATGACACAAAAAAATTTTATTTGAGGTCAAAAAATTCTTTGTTTCATTCTACAATTAATATTATGTCTCATTAATATTATGTCTCATTAAGAAACTCCTTGCTAAATATAGTATAAATCGGTTTAGATCTTTCCTTTTTTATGTAAATCATCGAATGTCACACGCGTTATTCGACATTGCGGTGATATCAGTTATGCATATACTGTAATAGCATGTGGAAAATTTTAAATAAGATTTTATTGTATATTTTATAATTACAAATCTCCGTTTAAATATCGGAGTTATTTCATGAGGAAAATATGGGTAAAACAAGGATATTTAGGCGTCAAAGAATTGATAAGCATGATAATGTGTGTAGTAGATCAATTTACTTTTTTGTACTTCGATTCGACCTGATTTAGACGATTAACTTTTTTTTTTATGTCACTATTATGGTTAAAGAAATGAAAGGATTGACATCTTTTGATGTTTTTTTTTAAAAAAAAAAATAACCTTTTTGCTATGTTACATTGGGTGATTGTTTCTATGAGTAATATGCAAAAGTTCGTTTCATGTTGTAATTATACAATAAATTCCCTTATTTACACTCATTTTTAAAATAAAATTTGTTTTTTTTTTATTGAAAATATGAAATTAGTGCGTTTAGTGCGTTCGTGATAATCTAAGTTGCGTGAGAAAATCTTCTTATCTGTTGTTTTTAAGTTTTTAATGTTGATTAAACAATGGTAAACATTTTTGCCGAATTTATTGCTATTTTTGGTTAATTTTGGCTGAAATTATTGCTAAATTTGATTGTTTTTGGCAGAAATTACCTTTCATTGGTTATTACCTTATTTTCTTTGTGTAATCGGTTTGAACTACCCTGACTCACCCGATGATTTATGTTTATCAGTTAAATATTACTATATTCGTTAACATCAAAGACAACAAAGATAGCCAATTTTTTTATATTTATTGGAAGAAATGACACAACTGAATTGTCCTTTGTCTTTTTTTTGGACCTAATTTCATTATTTTTTATTTTTTTTTAAAAAAATTATTCTTAATGGCTCGATTAATTTTCTACTTAGTTTTGTTCCTAACTTACGTTACGTTTTCGAGTGCTGCATATAATTTCTCTGCTTATGTTCCTCCTTCTATAGTTTTAAATGATAAATATTTCGTCGATGTTGAGCAAGAAATTCGAGTTGGATTTAGATTATTTGATGCGTCATCAGTAAACAAAGATTCAAATGTGATCAAGTATCAAAATTTACAATATACTACCAACACGCCAGATGTTAAATATCCTAGAGTAGTTGGCAATAAAAATAAATTATTCTTTTTTGGAGTGAACGGAAATGATGTTTTTGAATCAACCATAATGTTCTCGTTCGATATTAATGAAAAAGTCTGGAAAGAATTAAAAGATGTTAATATGCCATCACATTTAGATCCAAACCAAGAAGAGAATTTTGTCGGTCCTGATAATGATGGAAATGCTTATTTATTATATAACGACAATAATATTATGCTTACTTTTAACACTGAAACATTGCAATGGAATGAATATTCTATTCAATCCTTCGTTCCAACCGGTTACGCTTACTATGTTTGGTATACTGCCACAATATTAACCGATGGAAATATTGCGTACATCGGAGGTAAAATTTTTTTTGCATTCTATTTAAACGCTTTAAATAATAATAAAATAATAATAAAATAATAATTTTCTTTTTTAAAGGTAAATTTTCTAATGGCACGGGTTACGTTGATGCTCCAATGAATCAGGTATATTTCATTTATAAGATTGTTTACTAAAATCCATCACTATTATTAAATATTTTTCTTTTTTCTTTCTTAGTTTTATACTTATAATACAAAAACCCATGCTTGGGCCGCTAAGGTAATTTTTTATCTCTCTCCCCATAATTATCAAAAAAAAAAGAGTATTAACGTAATATATTTATAGTCCACCATTGGAACTACTCCTGGGCCAAGGAATAGCCATTCGGCCAGCTTAAGTAATTTACAATTTTTATCATAATTAATATTCTTTAAATTGATTTTATTAATTTACTCATGATAAAATTTTGTATATATATAGCTTCGGATGGTAGAATAATTATTTATGGAGGCGTTAATGCAAATGACCAGCCAGCTTCCCCGTCATTAGCTGTATTAGATACTAATAAATATGAGTGGTCTGCACCTACTGAAAATAATCCAATTGGGTCATTATACTTAGCTCCTTCCGTAATAGTTAACGATTTGATGTTTTTATATCTTGGTAATTATCAGAAATGATTTTTGCATTAATTATTATATCAAAATATAACCAAAAAAAAAATATTATTACAATTTTTTTCCTACAGGTGTTAATATTTCCTCGAACGTTCCTACTATTTTTAATAAAATATTTGTGCTCGATACATCAAGTTATACTTGGAGTAGTTTAGATCCCGTAGTAACCGATAGTGATGATAATATTTATAGTAATGGCAATAACCAATTAACCGCAGTTGTTGTAAATAAGAATGATCTCACGATGAAATTACTTATTCTTTTAATCGTAATTAGTTCTATACTTGTTTTGGCGATACTTGGAGCTACATTTTATAGATTGTATCGATCGAGACGTTTAAATTCTCAAATTAGTCCAAAGGTAATTGATAATTCCCATCAACAACCAGCTTAAAGTCAAGTATAATTAACTTGTAGTTATAGTTTTCTTCTACGATGATTTTTTTAGTTGTTTTTTTTTAATGTATATACTGTATCATGTTTATTAGTTGTATACATATTATGTATGAAATATTGTAATAAATTTTGTTAAATTTGATTTTTTCTGTTAAAGTAAATATTATTATTAATAACACGACTCCGAAATTTATTGACGTCTGCAGCTGATTACATAACTTTTAATGCTCTAACGAATTAAATTTACAAATTCTAGAATGAAATGAAGATACTTGATTATCGTATGATATCATAACTCGATAATATTAATAATAACTCGGTTAAAATATCACCGAACTGTGACTGTTATTCCAAGATCATGTTCCATAGTTATTTACCTACAAATCACTAAAATACGCTGAGTCAATACTTCAAAATATAAATCAGTAAAATATAAAATACTAGCTGCCGGTTGTGTTCATAATATTTTAGTGTTAATTTTAAACAATATAGTTTGTTATTGAAATATTATAAAATGTATAGTTTATATTTTACTTTATATATAGCAATATTTTATTTTTACTTTTTATTTTCAACGTGAAAAAGCCACGGTACAAATTACATGGACACTATATATTAGAGCCAAAAGCAATTCCCTAAAACCGTAAGCTAAACCGCCAGAAATTCCGACAATGACACCTTGGTTTAACGAGCAAAACGAACCCATGGCGGGACCTCCCTAAGGATACCACCCGAACCACAGTATAAATTTTAATAGTAATTTTATATATATGCCACGATTTGTCACGTGATCGGCGTGTAATGTTTTTATTGGTGTATATTATAGGTGCATTGAAAAAAAAAAAATGTTTTTTGTTAAAATTCCGCAGTAAATTTCATTTTTTTTTTTTTTTTTATTTTGAGGAGCAAGGACCATGAGGTGGCCTCTATGGAAAGGTCTCCTCTTGACTACCTAAAGTCCTAAACATAGACCTCAAAGAGAGATGTGAGTGGCTAATAACAGAACTATATTACAGAAGTCTATACCCAACAGTTCAGCTTCCTTGCCTTTTCTTTCCTTCAACCTGGTCACTAAAGATCCAACTGACTCACAACCCTTTGACAAGAGTAATGAAAAGTTGAACTTAAGTTAGAATACTGTAAACAACATTTTCTAAACCTTCACAACCTTCCAGTAAAAACTGGTTTATTCTCTATAGTGCCTCAAGCAAAGACCCAAAAATATATATATAAGAACTAAAAAAATCATAAAAATTTTCAAGCCAATGCTATGCTAAAAAGTAATAAGATTTTAATTGTATTTTTTCTCTTTTTTTTTTCTATTATGTACGTGCTTATATACTGATAATTTCTGGAAGGTTTTGTTTGTTATATAAATTTTTACCTATATGAAATTCCTTTTTTAAATAATTTTTTATAATACCCGTTAGAATTTTATTGCCTATTATAGGGCATGGCTAAAACGAAGCTAATGTGGCTCAAAAAATTTTCCAGATTCCCCCAATGTGGTACATGTGGTAAAATATTTATCTGTGATACCCAGCCGGCATAACGTTGAGCCGTAGTTGAGCTTGTGAGGTCCTTTGTGGGTGTGGCAAGTGCTGGCACGGCACAAGCCTCACTATCACGAAGGACTGGCCCTACCACGCCACAGCGACACTGTTGTGACGAGCTGGGCTACTGTAGGTAAATATTTTCCCGCTATGTGCCATCGAGAGAATCCAGTACAAAATTTTTTGAGCCACTGCAGCCCTGCCCTGCTTTAGCCATGCTCCTATTATAGTAATTAACTAATATTATTATAATTTAGCTCTGAAAAAATACATACAGCTCATAGTAAAAAAATTTTTTCACCACCTGACCTCTATATATATATTTTTGGATCCTTCTTAAACTATGAAAGCCTAGAGTCCTGGACTTTGGAAATTGTTTTACATACTTTGACATAATAGCAATAGCTTCACTTTATTATGCTTAGATATATGTCTAATAGGATTACCTGTCTTTTTTAGAAAGTATACATGAACATTTTGATAAACTATAAATTAATACAGTATCAATTGATAAATATACTAATGTTTTACAAGTTTTCTAAAATAATCCAACTTCAAATCTAATTACAATTCCATTACAAAGTTACTTATAAAGCATTAGTAATTTGTAAACTACTTCTTTTTTCTATTTTCCACTTTTTTCTTTTATTATATAGGTGCTTTGCAGTAAAAAGGGACGAAACTACTAAAAAAATTCAAATTTTCTTTTATATGCCAAAAATATTTTAAATGCTATAATTTGTTCAGATTTTACATTAATTCGTTTTTATTTTTTTTAGTAGTTTCATTCCTTACTATTGCAAAGTGCCCATATAATAATAATTAATAATAGACTTTTTAACATTTTTATATTACTATATATAATTATAAATAATAAAATTTTTTTCAATATCTGAGTTTATATTATAAAAAGCTTTTTCATTTTTTTTTCTTATTTTCTTTATTTTATCTTAGATTTTTATATTTCTTTATGCATTCACTACTATAGTGACTAGTTTTCCATTATTTAGTTTATTTTTACAAAGGATGGGTTTGTTAATTGGATTTTATATATTTTAATAATAAAAATAAAATAAAGATTGCAGAAGCATTGATTAAGGTGGAAAAGTCCAATAAATACAGTAGTATTTAATGTATTTTTAATATAGTTTGCATTTTTATATACTGTATACTATTTGCAAAATATGTTTAGCAAAAAAATATAATAAAGTATATGGTATAGCATTTAAAATGAGTCATATAATAATCACATGATAGAATAAATATTCAACTGATAGATAAATTATAAACTGATTAAATATTAACCAATAGATAATTATTTAACTAAAGAATAAATTATTAAAATATAATAAGATTAAAAGAATTGTTATAAAAAATTTATAATTATTTAATAAAATAATCATTATAATGGAATTTAGTTAAAATAAATTATATTGAATAAAATAAAAATAAAAAATTATATTAGTAATAATAAATCATAATAAATTTAAATTTATCATTAATAATTATAATTTATAAATAATCATTAATAAAAAGAAATTTTTAAAAGTTTTTAAAACCTTTTAAAATAATTAATTATGCATTTTAATTATTAATTAAATTAATTAAATTTTAAGGTACTTTTAATTTTAGTGTAGTTTAGTAAATTAGAATGTATAAAAAGAGTTTTAAACTTAAGTTCAATAATTTTGCCTTAATATTTTCAAGAATATGGAATAGAAATAAATCAAATTATAATTATTATGATTATTTAAATATTATTAATCAGTATATAAAATTCATGTGTATAATGTACACATTTTAATTTTTATGAGCATAATTTTTAAAAATAAATTTAATATTGTAAAATAAAAAAAATAAAAAAATACTGTATTCAATATATATATGGCCAAGTAAATAAATTTATTCGTTTCTCATAACCAGGCGGGTCATGTAAATGTTGCGAAAAGATAAAAAAATTTATTTTATTTGGTCATGTGATTTTGGTTTTGACCAATCATAATCATAAAAAAATAATTTTTTTTTCCATCCGGTAACCCGGGCAAAAAATTTATTAAATCAACCAATCATCTTCTAGGAATCGGCTAAATTTTTTTTGAAAATAAATTTTTTTTCTGGGCGGCCAGGTCAAATTTAGCAATTTTTTTTCATGAGAAACGAATAATTTTATTTTTTTGGCCTATTATAAACAATTTTAATATATTTAACATCACTATTAAATATGACTGTAGTAGTAAAGATTTTATTTGTTTATATAAAAAAATTTGTGTGATTTAATTTTATTTTATTAAATAATAATAATAAAATTTTTTTTACTTTCCTTTTTTTTAATTTTTAAAGTTTAGTGTTATTTTTTTTATATTGTAAATTTTAATAGTTTAATGAAAATTTCTTTAACAAATACATATATTATGGCTATAAAATATTTAAAGCATTATTTAAATTCATAAGTCATAAAACTAATAGTATTTTCAAATAGCTTAAAACATATAATAATTGTCATCAAAAATTTACTAAAAACAAAAAAAATCTGCTATAATAAATAATTAACTTGATATTTTAGAAATTATCAATATTAATTTTTTAAGTGAAGTAATTACAAATCTTTTAAAAAATACATCATCAATAACTAAGAATTTATTAAATAAATGATATTAATTACTGCATAGAAGTTTTACTAAAAAATATTTATCTAAAAATTTTGGAATGATGGAGTATGAACTGCTCCACTTGGAAGTTTACCCGTACGATAGTTTCTAGCTAACTGGGATTTCAAACAAAGAAAAGAACAGGAACAATTTCAGGCTGTGCTTAAAGGAGAGTACATATATTACTATGTATATTTTATATTGGTCAAATATTGGAAATTAAAAATAAAATAAATGAACTGTTAGGTGTAAAAGGTAGTTAAAAAGTACATCCCAAATTATTAAACTTTGTAAAGAAATTAAATAGTATATTAAAGGAATTTTAATATAAATTAAAAATTAGTTATACAAAAATTCAAAAATGTTTTTCAAATATTATTAATTATTATAATAATTTAATAAATTTAATTTATACTATTTCTATATGATTAATTGAATTTATTAATATAAATTTAATTGAAATATTATAAAAAATAATCAATTAGTACAAATATATACTTTATTTGAAGAAGCTATTTAGTTTTTAAAATATTTAATATTATGTTGTTGGTATAGAAATTTAATTTATGCATAATTATTAGTTGATTATTAAGAAGCAGCTTGTATTTTAAATACAAATATTGATAATATTTCTAATCATTTAAAATCTTTTAATAATCATTTTAAAGAAATTTATATTAAACAATTTCAATGTTATTATGTATTAATACTTTATATATTTACTTAGTTTTATATATCACTTTTAATTCAGTAACAACTTGAAAATGAACTTTCTCAATAAACAAATTAATATTTGTTAAATACTAATTAAAAATTGAATTATCATACTATTAAAGAAATTTATTATTAGTATACTTATTTTAAAGCTGATAAAGTGGATTATTCTGCAAAAAGAATTTTTATATAGATTAAATTAGAAACTTATAAATTTAATAGGACCTTACTTATAAGATAGATCACCTTTAGGTTTATAGTAAAAATCATATATAAAATTCTTTGCAGATTCTACTATAAAAGGAAATTTTATATTATGTTGTTATAATTTTATCTCTTTTAGCTAATTAACCAATAGAATTTAAGAAAAAAGTAAAGTAAAAATTATTAATAAAGGGCCAATTTTTTACAGTGACCTTTATACAGGAAAAGCTACTTGCCAGTTGCCAATGTTCCAATATCTTGATTTTTAACACAAGGTAATGCATGTAAACATTTATATGCAGCAATTTTATATATTAATTGAATGCATTAACCACTTGGTAATTTTATCTACCTGAAATTAAATTACTAGCATAAGAAGAAATTCAATATTTTGAAGAAAAAATCTTAATAGGTAAATGTTCATTTTATTTATTTATTTAAATAGACTAATTTATAGATATTATTATTACAGATGATAATAATAATGAATCAATAGATAAATAAATGACTTTGATAATTGGCAATTAAAGAACATATAGATAAAACAAAATGATGAAGAAGTAATAGAATCTTTTCAAAGTTTAATTTGGAAAATATTAATTCCTTAGCTATTACTAAACAAAAATTTGTACACACATGTTCTACTATTAAGAATACTATTAACTCCTTAAATGATGCATTCAAAATATTAATTTTTGATATTGAAGACAATTATAATGCATTTACTAAAGAAAAAGAAAATTAATGCAAAGTGATTAATGGAAAATTGTACAAAACGAATTTCAAAGTATACAATTTTACAAAAAACCATTAGCAAACCCCTATACAATTAATACTATTACTAACACTAGTGAATTAATTTCACTTTCGCGGTTTTGCTTAGTAAAAACAAAGAAGACATGATTCATATAACATTTGACAATAAGGTATTAAATTTGTTTGTTATTTAATTATATTTCATTATATTCACATCCTTTTTCAATTTGAAGCTTATTACATTCTACCATGTAATTAATTTTTTTCTAGTTACAATTATATATATAACATGTTAAATATAAGTTAGTATAATAGTATAGTTACAGTGCCCGGAAAAAAGTCACCGACCAGCAGTAAATTACGATAATCGGTATGAAAATATCCTTCTATATAAAGTTTTTTTTTTAATAATTAACATGTCTTTTGTGTAATTGTCCAGAGCGAAGCGAAGGACAATATATGTCTACGCACTATGAAAAAAAAATCGATCACGTGAGTTTCTCTGTCCGCCACGTGATCGTCACCCAATGAAATCGGCAAATTTTAGTTTTTCGTTCCGGACTTACAACGGAGTAAGTAAAGTTGATCATCGAATTGAATTGCATCTACTTCAAAAATTTTATGAACTTTTGAAAAAAAATTGATTGCTATATTTTATGAGTTATTAAATAAATCAGATTTTTAATGAAAGATGTTTAGGTATAATATAACATTAAAAAATTCATGCTTCATTTTTTAAATAAAATTATTTATCGAAACTTTTGGCATATTTTTACGAAGTTTCATTAAAATCAATGAGGTGGATCAACTGTAATTTGCCGATCATTTGTCAATCATACTGACGCATAAATTCGGCCAATTTTTTTTCATGAAAACTTAGGATTTTGATTATGATTTCTAGCTTTTTTTATTGTAATGAGAATTCAAAATCAATAATTTGTTCTTTAATTAAAATTTTATAAATAATTAATAGATACCAATCATCTTTGTTAAATATGTGTAACTTACAAACTGTTTTGTCTATTTTTGATGATATTTTGCAGTAATATGTTACGAACTTTGATAAATAATTTTATTTAAAAATGAAACATAATAAAACAACCCATAAAATATAGCAATCAATTTATTCAAATTTTTTAAAGTAGATGCAATTCAATTCGATGATCAACTTTACTAATTACACAAAAGACATGTTAATTATTAAAAAAAAAACTTTATGTAGAAGGATATTTTCATAACAATTATCGTAATTTACTGCTGGTCGGTGACTTTTTTCCGGGCACTGTATGTTGATTTATAATGTTTAGCTAATTACAAATGTACGATTTTATAAAGAAAATATTGTAACTTAACGCGTTTTTTTGCAAAAATATACGCGAAAAAAAGTATAAATATAATAATAAGTCACTTTATAAAAATTTTAAATAAAATTACTTGTAATATGGCGTTAGTTCACGCACTTTTTAACGAAAAAAAAAGAGATTTTTTTTTTAACGTCGATTAAAATAGCACATGACCTAAAATTAGTATTATTCGTATAATAAAATTTAAAAATGTCAAATAAGCAATACCATAAAAGTATAGTAAATAAACTTTTTAAGTGCGCATATTAAAAGTAGAATCACACAAATAATACTGCACCGATCATGTGAACATTCACTAATAAAGTGTATTTATTTGGATCATTTATTTAATGATCGTACTAACCATAAAATTCAATATACAGTATGTATAATCGGACAAATGATATAGAATTGGCACATCTATAAAAAATTTTTTTTTTTACAAGATATAAATATAATTACATCAAAAAAATATTTGATCATAAAGAAAAAAAAGATTCTATTTAAGAAATATTGACTTCATTTTTAATTTAATGACGCTCATATCAAAAAAATATTTAATAAATATCTCTTTTTTTCGAAAAAAAAAGGAAAAAAAAATAGATTAAGAAAAATATATTAATAAAAAATATCTATTCCTTATAAAAAAATGAATAACATAAATTATTTCATATTAACTCACTTTACTTTGTGTAATTCATTCAACTGTTGAACGAGAAAGTAATAATTTTATATAAAAGAAACTATTGGTATTATGAGAAAAGAAGATTAATACAACAATGAATTTAAAAATAATTTCCTTTTTTCCAAAAATTCCCGATTTTACATCTGGTGATGTAGTTAGGTTTACAGGAAAATTTCCTCTCAATGAGGAACCTCCTCATGATGATATTTTGGAGGTAATTTTTAATTTATTATTTATGTAAAAAATTAAATAAATTAGATGCAGGTGATTTGACGATTAGTTCAATCTCTGTTTTTTTCATTGGTTACGTTATAAGACAAGTACAAGATGATGATGATTTATTTAAAAGTATCAAACTTAATGTTAATGAATTTGTTGGAAAGGGAAATGTTGCTGACAAATTTAATATAAAATGTAAGATACTTAAAAGCGAATGAGAGAATTGATAATAAAGCGAAAAAATCCATAAACAGATTCTTTTTCTTAATATATTCTACATTATTACAAACAAAAACACAAATACAACAACTCCAATAAATAACATTAACTGAAAAAATATTAAAGATCGTGCCAACTTAATTCCTGACGCCACCCTAGTTCATTTTTATAAATCATTTATCATATTTAAGTCGACTAAAGATGAGCACTAGAATAAATACGATTTTGCAGGTCAAAGTTAAGAGTGTAACGAAAAGTCAATACATAAGAATTAGATGTTAAATGAAATATCTACATTTAATCTAATTATTGAGTAAAAAATGATTCTCTTTTAAATAAAGTATTAATCATAAATGGAGTCAAATCCCAGCGCATTTGATTAAGCTCAGATACTATATTATTAACGAATTGCGAAATCAAACATACTTTATTTATTTTATTAAAAATATGTAATAACGATATTATTATTATTAATTCTAAAAATGTGTGTATTTTTTTTTGGTTGAACTGGATCCTTTATTATCAATGTTCATATTCTTGCCTTAAAGACTAATTAATTGCATACTGATACGACATACCCAGTTAGTCATCAAATATCTTAACGGCACTTCATGCAAAACCGAATAACCAGGCAACAAACAAGAAAAACTAAATTAAAAATAACTAGTTTTTTTTCCTATAATTTAAAATAAAAAAGTGTCAAAACCAAGGTTCAAGTAGAACTATATTCCATATTATTGCATCATTTTCTTCCTGTACACTTTTAACAACAATTTTTATATCTCCTTGTTCATCATAATCACGATCAGGTAATGCATATAAATTATCATGAAAACGAAAATATTGAGGATATGTCCAAGAACTAAGAGTAAATCGTTGATTATTGTTATCAATATTATATGGTTGAAGATGTAAATTTCATTTGTTTTATGTTGAATAGCTCGAAATTCTTTTTTATTGCTTCTTCCTCCCAAACTAACAATAGAAATACTGTTATCTCCATTCGGCTTAAGTACTCAAACTTGTTCATATTGATTACCGCCATCTTTTTTAAAAAAAAATTAAGAATGGAGTAAATTTTATTTTATTTTGTTTTATTTACTTTATTTATCTTATTATACTGTATGTAGTCAAGTCTCTGGAACACCAGTTCGAATTCAATCAAATAAAAAACCATATCTTCATTGGACAGCAGGTTCTTATAATAATGACAATTATGATGATATTTTTTAACTGGTTTAGAAATATATCAAAATTAATTTCTTACTGTACTGACTATCTTTATTTTCACATGAATAAACACTAGAACAATATTAATTATTATCTTGGTAGCACATATTAATTTTTGACAAATCAATTCGTACATTACGAGCACGCTCATTGAATCCTGTGCACGAAAAAATTGGTATTTGTGGTAAAACTTGTTTTGGCATTTTATCTTTATCTTGTGTATACTGTGCATGGAACTTATATGAAGATCATTTTGTAAATACCGTATATCTTAATCACTTGATTATGTATTTATGTTATGCAGAAATTGTATATAAAATCAAAATAACCTAGAACGGCAAAAAAGTGTAGTATGGAAAGTTAATCACTGTTCGAATGCGACAATAGATTTTTAAACTAATAATTAATCCAAAGTAACAGGCGCAGCGTAAGACATTTGATGAAAGTTCAGTCATCTGAAGCAGTATATTCAATGAAAAGGTAAGTTTCGCCAAATTTTGGGGCTTCGATAATCTAATATATTCGATAATCTAATATAACATAGTAATATGTTTCACAGAAGAATCGGATAATCGGATATAAAATGTAGCATTTGAATGGGACTTTGGTATCAATTATTGATATTGATAGTGTTGTTTAATAATTTGATTAATCATGGAAGCAGATCTCACTAATCTCACTAATAGTTTTAGGCAATTCGAAAGTATAATCTATGACGCTCTCGAAAATGAACAATCTTCCATCGTTAAGGGGGTTAAATGGCACCTTGGAAATATGGAAACGGAAGAGGAAAATAAATCAATTCAATCATCTGGTGCAGATCCTGGTGCAGATAGGATTCCTGATAAAAATTATAAGAATTGGTCAACCAATATTCAATTTACGCCCAAATATACTTACTATCCAAGAAACCGTGAAGACATCATTAATTGTGTAAAAATAGCAAAAGAAGAAGGCTTAAAGATTCGATGTGCTGCTGAAGGGCATACCTGGAGTTCGCTCTCAATGACACATAGCTTTTTGCTGATTTTAGATGAAAATTTATCAGACATTACAATAGAAAAGTATGATAATGGAGATTGGGTGGTTCATGCGGAAGCTGGTATATTATATGATTATATGATAATAATTGCAACTTAAATATTAATTGCGTTTCTATATTGGTTTATTTGTAAAACTAGGTGCGCAAATCTCGAAAATTGATAAGATCCTTAAGAAGAACGAACCGCCATTAACAATTGAGTCCATGACCGTTCTTGATACTGTCAGCATCGGAGGAGTTGTTGCAACTGGATCTCATGGTGCTAAAACTCAATCGAGAACAATTGCAGAACAGGTTGTTGGTTTGGAAATCGTTGATGCCAATGGTGATTTACGCAAATTCTCAGACGAAATTAACCCTGAAGAGATGGCGGCTGCACGTGTCAATTTAGGTAAGTGGATATACGGAACACAGCTAAAAAACACTCGTTTACGAAATTGTAAGTTATTAATAGTTTACTATTTAACCTCAATCACTCTGTAGGACTCTTGGGTATTATTTATAGGGTGTCCTTACGTGTTAAGCCAATGTATAACCTTCGAATGAGCGATACTTACCCAAAATTGGCAACGTTTTCTAAAGAAGATCTTAAAAAACTTGTGATGGAATCTGATGGAGTTGAAATATTCTATTGGCCATTTAATGCATCAAGTATTTATATAATAAGGATTATTTCGTTTCAAACAAGATTGCATCTTTTATCTTTAACTCTTTCCATTATTACCAGACAAATCAACTGATTCTTCTCAAGACAGTCTTATGGTAAAAAGATGGACAGAATCTACTGATGAACCCACTCTAAATAAACTTGAATTAGCTCTTTATCGCGCTGCACAAAAGGCTGCTACTTATTTTGCCAATTATTATTACAAACTGCTTATATTGGACCCGAATTCGACTCCATATTACACTCACTTGATTAGTTCAATTAAATCGCCAGAACGTGATATGGTATGGCAAGCGCCAGATGCAATTCATTATCAGGCTGGAATAGATAACATCCTTTGCCAAGATATGGAATTTGCTATTAAAGTTGACGATGATTTTGGTAATGTCATCACAGAACTGAACTATATTGTTGATCAAGTATGTATTCATTTATATCTTGGGAATTTGATTCTTTTTATTATTTCTTATAGATTTTTAATGTACCACTCTCTTAATAGATTTATGCTTACCAAAAGGACAAGAAATTCCCTATCAATTTAACTGTTGAATTGCGGATTCTTAAAAGCTCAAAAGCTAACTGCGTACGATGAGGATCCTGAAGCTTACTATTTTTTCCCCGAAGTGCTTTCTATCAATGATACCAAATTCTATGGAGAATTTTGCCAAAATATTGCCAAACGATGGATTGATAAATATAAAGCAAGGTGATATAAACTATTCTGTTTTTTGGCGAACCAATGATATTAACAGACTTTTTTTAATGGATGGGCACTATTGCACTAGACCACATTGGGCCAAATCTTGGGAAGATATTCCGAACATTAAAGATTATCTTCACGGGTTGCTAAAAGAACGCACCGAAAGATTTGAAAAAGTCCGCAAAAATTATGATCCAAATGGCATGTTTTTTGATAACGATTCTATCCGCTATGTATTTTATGGGTCACCATGATTGCACTGCTATGCCATGGGATACAATGTAAAAGTGCTGCAGCACCCAATTGGCTCGTCATTATGGTTTTTATTAAAAAATTAAAAAAAAGTAATTAATAAAAATTCAATTGGTGTTAATATATTCGACTGATTACAAATTATTTATACTTTAGCGTTATTGTTAAAGAAAATTGAGTTAAATGAAGAAATTAGTTCTAAAAATAAAGAATTTATTAAAATGTTTGAGAGAGCTGGACATTATTTCGATCAATTCGGTGATGCTGGCCATGTTACGTTGGGGTGCGCTCTTAACTATGTAAATCAAAACTATATCAAGTCGCCTAAGATTTTTATATAGTTAATATTTTAAAGTCTAAATTTGATAGACGAAATTTTAATAATAAATTACTATAAAAAAACAGCACATTTTTTTTTAGATGCACAGATCGAACAATTTCTTCTTTCTCAAATATTTTCACATTTATTAGCTTCTTCAAACTATCTTTACAAAATTACGAAGCTATTTTTTACATTTACTGACAAATTATTTTTCAATTGGAATTTTAAGTAGTTTTTCTTTTTTGAGGTCTGATTTTTTTTAAGTATTTTATTATTAACACACAAAATGGCCTCGTAACTTTGCTAATAAAGTCATGTTCTTAATCTTAATATGCTTTTTTTCTCAAAGTACAGAATAGTTAAAACCACACATCTAATTGGGATGTGAAATATAATACAATGTGTACTTACAAATCATATAAACATCATTTTCAATTAAAGGAACGAAACAGTCAAAACTCTGTTTGTTGTCAGTTAAAATTTCAAAAGAAAATTTGGCAAGTTAAAGGAAGTGCGAAAACAAAAAAATGAGTCACTTCAGAAAATACAGCCTCAGCTATTTGGGCCTGATATCGCTTCAATTCTTATGCTTTGCTAAATTAAAAATATTTTTATATTTAAATTAACATTATTAAATTTAATTTATAATATTTGCATTGATAAATTCATTATTGTAACATTAAAATTTTTAACTCGTTATTATTATAAAAAATCCTTAATTAATAATTTTTATTATATAACTTGATATAGTTTTGATTTACATAGTTAACAGCGCACGGCGCACCCCAATGTTACGTCGATTTACATCACATTTATGTCGATTATTAGGTGGGATTTTACGTAATCAGCGATTTATTCTCTTTGACCTGCGTCGAGGTGCGAACGCGGGTCAAGAATCACTAGTTGCTAGTTGCTGCATGTTTTATGATCAGATCGATGATGACAACAAATGTAAGACGAAATCACTCACTTTTGGGTCGATTAATAAGTGGAATTTTACGTAATCAGCGATTTTGTTCTTTTTGACCCGCATCATGATGCAGCGCGGGACAAGATTATATATGTATATCACAAAAGTCGGTAAAATTAAATAACGTAAACTTGCACCTATGCCATGGTTGGTGTATCTCAAAGAAACATTAAGATAATACGTATGAACTTCAAAAGGATTGGGACAATGATGAACTCATTGCTTTTTTAAATAATCAAAAGCTTTATTTTATATAGGAAGATACAAATTAAATTAGGGATGGATCTGTGCGCGTGATTTTAAGCCAATAAGAATAACCCAAGTAAATATTTTATAACGGTATGAAGTGAAATACTCAGACGATGAATGGCTTTTAATAAGTAACCTTTATAATAAAGTTACAATCAGTACAAACCCATTGTTTAAGATCGTTGTTATAATTAAAAATTTTGTCTTTCTCAACGTATCTATTGCACCAACAACTGATTTCCTTTGAAACACATTTAACTTAGAAAAAAAAAATAAATATTAGTTTTTTAATATCGATATTCAATGAAATAAATAAATAAATAAATATTACTTACATATTTCGTCATTGCTAATGAAATCGCAACCTTTACATATCCATTCTTTTGATTGCATGTTAAAATTAAATTAAAAATACGCTCTTTATCTTCATACCGTAATTATCCCCTGTAAAAAATCTGATCCGTGTTTTATCTTTCCATGTTTTTTCCGTAAATGTATCATTTTCATGGAATTAATAGCCTTAAATCATGGAAATTTTCATCTCGCTAACACGGATATCCGTGAATGTATCATTTTCACGGAATTTTTACGGAAGACACGGAGAAATAATGGAAATATTCGGATAAAAATTTTTTATAGGGATCGCAGTGACAAATGATTTCTTTTGAAAAACAATAAACTAAAAAGATAATATTAATAATAAATAAGGAATAGGAAACATTCCCTGACGCTGATTCTTTAGTGTAATAATATAATCTAAAAATTGTTATCCACATCGGAACTTCGCGGTGTCAGTTGACGTGGAACCGTGGTTCCAGAAGTGATGGTACCGCACGGTTCCAGTTAATTGATCTGATTAAATCGGGACAACAAATGATTCATTCCGTGATGCTGATTCTTTAGTGTAATAATAAAAATCTTTTTTTATCAAAAAAAAAATTGTTACCCACATCGGAACCACATGGTGTCTGCGGTGTCTGATGGTACCAGTTAATTGATCTGATTAAATAAAATGAATCAATAATTCATTCCCTGACGCTGATTCTTTAGGTAATAATATAATCTTTTTTTATTTAAAAATAATTGTTATCCACATCGGAACCTCACGGTATCAGTTGATGTGAAACCGTACGGTTCCAGTTAATTAAACTGATTAAATAGGACGAATAAATGATTCATATCGTGATTCTGATTCATTTGTGTTTATTTATTTATCATATGACCTAGAACCTCACTTTACCAACATACTTCAATAATTTATAACAGAGTTATGTATGTAATACTAGATCATTATAACGTAATCTATAATAAAGAAAATTTAAATTAATGAATCATAATAATAAAAATAGATAAAAAAAAATCTAATGAAATAAGTACGAGCTCAACCAAATAATGAAAGTATTCCAACTTTTATCAGTTGCCTTTACTAAATGATTTATGGAAATTTGCTAATACCGTACAAGGCAGGTGCCTTGTATTGAAAGCATTCTATAAATTTACATGTAGCCCTAACTTTCTTTGTAATATATGCATTTCTTGTTTAGTTTACTGACTTCCTTTATCACTACTTCTTCGTGAGATATATCTTTTGAATCAATAAAAATGCAAATATACTTGTAAAAATTAAAAAACGACTTGTATGCTTCAATTGAAGTATTAATTCTATGCAAATTATCATTAAAAAATTGTTTTAAGCAATTTTTTATGTTATTCTTGTGAGGGAATATTCATCCTATAATTTTATCGAAAGATTTAGTTTTTGATTAAGAAATTTTACAAAAAAAATAAAATATATACTTACGGATGATTGATTCATTAATGCACAATGATAAGCATATTGTAAAGATTCTATTATATCATTTTATGATATTTCCTTTCTTGCGATAGTAAGATTACGAAATTTTGATGTTAACTATAATTTAAGATTTGTTACTAATAAATAGTAATATACAACTAAAATATATACCATCATCATAATCATCAATTTCATCATCTCCATCTAATAAATTTTGTTTGGATGTCAAAAATTAGTTTGCAATGACATAAAAAAAAAAAGAATATACCTTTAAAAGTTGATTCATATTCATTTATTTTTTTCATTAGATCTATTAAACAATTATTTTTTGGTTTAAAATTCACTTGATACTTAAATAAAACATTTTTTTTTTTATTTATAGTATGTCTGGTCAAAACTTTATTAAAATTAAAATTGTAATGGTACAAAGATTACAAATATATGAAAGTTCACCACTTCCACTGTGCAATGAAAATGTCCAGGCACACTTGCATCAAATGATGCTTCACACCAAAAAGAAATAAAATGCAAACAAAAAATAAAATTGACAATGAAACCACCCTACAACTACCACACTCCTAAAAATTAGGCCCCACTGATTATTCTGTCAAATTCCTCAAGATACTCCTAATTTTCTTAGCATCGATCTAATATCAGCTAAAACCATAAATTTGTCAATACTATCTAAGCTCTTGTTGGCTTGCTTAGTTTTCTTATGTTTCTTATCCGACTTAAGTGTATTAGTATTCTTCTGAGATACCTTAGAATCATCATCTTGCTTCACCTTCTGATGGCAATTCCTTCTTTACTTTAAGTTAGGAGTATAGTACCATTTCCAATCACCTGTAAATTCATTCAAGTTAAAAGTCTTACCAATAACTTTACCAAGTCACCCACAATTCATAGTAAGTAATCAACTTGCGGGTACCCTTATCTTGAATTAATTTAAATGCTTTACATTCAGTGGGTGTAAGTATAGAGTGAGCAAGGTTAGCCAGATATAGAGGGATGCAATAGTGGTAGAAGTAGGAACTCCTATTAAAACTGCCTGGAATCTTTCCTGTTCTTTTCTTTGTTTGAAATTCCAGTTGGCCGGAAACTATCTAACAGGTAGACTTCCAAATGGAGTAGTTTAAGCTTTACTATTCCATAGATCTATTTCCATCTCGTTGAGATTTACTGACATAGTAACTGTAGTGTATTTCTATTGCAATTAAAATTAATCACAATTACTCAACCCCAGGCTTGTAAGTGATTAAACACATTGAGTTAAGTCCATCTAAAAGGAATGTCATATACTGTAATTTCACAAACATGATTTTTAACTTCCAGATTATATTCAATCATTACAATACTAATTGTTTTAGTCAGCTGGTATACTAGCTGGTTGTTTCTTAGAAGTCTTATAACTGGTACTAGTTGAACTAGTCTTTGAAATGAATGCAACTTTTTTCTTCTTTTTATTCATATTAGGAGAAGATAAGTTTGGTCTGCTGGAGTTACTATTTGAGTCCTGTTTAACTACTTCTGCATAAGAAACTCACTTGATTTCTTTTCCTTTAGGAGTAAAAGGAGTGGCTTCTGCTTTAAAAATCACAGGTAATACATCAATTTGTACTACTTTTTGCTTAATTTGTATTACATCCATATTTAATAATAATTGGTACTTATTGTAAGTAAAAATTTTCATATCCATCGAAGTGTTTTCTGTAAAACTGGATGCGTAATTGGATTGTTATAATGACATCAACAAATTTTCCTTTCAAATTTTATCAACTTCCTGATCAAGTAAGAGTTGAAAATGTTAAGAGTACGTAAATACAATAAAGAGAAAGTAATAAAGTTTATTGAAATTTCTTACTTCAAAGATACTGAAAACATCTTGAAACTCTGAATCTTCATCACTAGTAAGTTTAACAGTATTGACTATATGTGCTTCATTTATATCATCAGCATTGTATTCTCTTAGGTCAACCTTTAAAAATTCAAGAAAAGAACTATCTTTAAGGTTGTTAATAAGTTGTTTGACTTTTAAATAATCAACTTGTAATTTATTATTAGTGTCAGAAGCCATTTTTTAACAAAAAAATTGCTAATAATTTTTTGGAAAAAAATGGTTTATGCAATTATCAAAAAGAGTTTCCCCTTTTAAATAAAACATATAGTGGCTTCCAAAAAAAAACGCACCATCATTATATTTTAATTTATTTAATTATATTATTTATATATTTATCAATCATGTAAAATTGTATCAATATAATTTTTTTATATATATATAATATATTATATGATCTTCATAATGCATGAATTTTAGTAATATTTTATAAACTAGATTTTTTTTAATTGTACAATTTTCATAAAAATTATAATGCGTTCTTTTTATCACTTTTAATACTTATAAAAAATTTGAATTTTTATAAAAATTAGCAATATGATTTTATAATAAATAAATGATAAATCAAATATAAAATAGTTCAAATTACTAATAAAATAAACTTAAAAAAAATTAATAATTTAATAATGGGTAAATTTAGATTTAACATTCCCGTATAATATTTAAATTTAACTATAAGATACAATATATATAAATCTTACGGAAAAGGAAAAAAATAATTTCTCAAATTTAATTGGTACTTTAATTAACTTTAATTAGCTAATATTAATATAATAAAACTTTAAATTTTACACATGATCTATAAACCTTTATTTAACAATAATTGCGATTCTACAATTTTTCAGTAAATTTTCCAAATTTACATGTTTACAATTGCAATTTACCATTCCTTTTCCTTCTCTTTTTACTTATTACCTGCACTCTTGTGAAAAGTAGCATTGTGCCTTATTCCATTACAAACATGACATTTGTATGAACCTTTAGTTTTAGGTATTTTTTGAGAATCCTGTACTTTTTCAACACTATTCAAATACCTTTATTTAGGTGGTCATCTTTTATTTGTAACTTTGTTTAGATTCTTCACAGTTTAGAAGTTTAATTCAATGTTAATATTATCTTCATTCCTTTAAATTTCATGAAAACTATTGAATATTTCACCAATAGAAGAGATAAATAGATAAACTGTACTATACGGTCAGTTAAACTGTACTGTACAAAAATATTTTAGCCAATCATAACTCTTGTATACTTTTCAAATTTTTTTTATTTATCGTACAATAAAATCTGATTGGTGAATTCTCACTTCATACAGTACAGTTTAGCTAATTGTACAGTACAGTTTATATGTATACTCCAATAGAAGTAATACTGGCTACAGTAGAACTTTCATTAATAACAGGTTTTTCATCAATAGTAGAAATTAACTGAATTTGAATTTTCATTAATAGTGAAAATTGCAAAACTCTCGTCAACTTCTTGATTAGATTTTCTTTTAATATAATCTTGAAGAAAGATAGTTATTTCGTTATTATCTTACTCAATTGTAAGCAAAGTGACAGTTTGTGCTGAGATTCCCTAATTCCCTCTTAATAAAAGAGTTGCCACATCGAGTCAGCATTCTCATGAATAAATGTTAATATTAAATAAAGTTTGACCCTTTTTCAATAATGAGTACCAAATAAAGTTAGTAATACCAAACACGAAAAATATATAAAATAAACTTCAAACTTCAATAAATTCTCCATATTATTTCGAATTCCAATAATTCTTCTTACAAAAATTATATATATTTCAACTTTTAAATTTTGATAATTTTCGTTACGAAAGTTTATATTTATTTCAACTTCCAAACTTCAATAATTCTTATTATGAAAGTTTATATTTATTTCATCTTATAGGATCTCGAACAATACTAATACAACTTACATTTGAATTTGCGTAGAGTTTATATTAAAATTTTTCAAAAGTTGCATATTATAGGAGTATTTTCAAAATTTCATTATTCTAAATACCCCTGTTTTTAATACAACCAGTAATTCGATTTTAATAAAATTTATATCATTAGATTGAGAGAATTCTAATGATAGTAAAATCGAATTCCTAGCTTTGATATTGACAGAGTTATATTATAAAATGTATTTTTACTTCAGTACTTAAAGTTTATTTACTTGTAAGTATCCTCATGACCTTATCTTATCATTTACAATTTGCAAATATTAATTAAACCTTAGACAAACCATAAGTATGTTTATGATCAACTTAAGACTCTCCTATTAAATTAATTTCCAGTTAACCTGTTTAAGTGTTAAAGTTTTTTGGCTTTAATCATTAATAGGATAACAGTATAAATATTGTAAAATATTGTAGAACAATTTATAGTGTTACAATAGTATAGTGTTACAATAGTTTAGTAAAACATTAAAATGTATAAAAAGGCTGGGTTTGGATTTTGATCAGCTTTTAGCTTTTGGCTTAATAAATAAAATAATAATAAAATATTAATTATTAAAAGTTATTTTAAATATGCTCATAATACACCTGAGAATTAATTAATATTAAATAATAAGTCCAGTGACGTAAAGTATGGCCAGTTTAATTATTTGATATAAAGTTTATTTAATGTAAGGGAAAATATCAAAGTTTGAAAGTTAAACTTTAAGATTATAAAAGAAATAAAGAGTTGTTAAAATCTAAACTAAGTATAACATTAAACTGAGTGATAATTAGTCTACTAATATGTGGCAGGTATCAGTGACAGCAGAACTGCTCTATATACTCTCAAAAGTCTTCTCAAATTCATTCACATCTACAATTTATTATTACTTGTTTATGTCTACGATTTCAATCAATATTTAGTATTTCTTTCAGTTCATATTAGAGAATTGGGTATATGAATATTTTGATTGCAAGTCCTCTGAATGGAGTATTATAAGTTTTTGGAAGAATGCAGTATAGAAACATTCACTAATAAAAATGGTTATTATCTTACTTCTCTTGAGAGTATCATTGAAAAGAAGGATGGAAACAGCTGGTATGAAATCTGTGCCAAGTTAGTGTCGATCACTACTATAATAAGAAAGAGTGATGTTAATGGCAAGTTCAAGAATTTTTTTAAAAAATATAAAAAAATTGGTGGCGTGACTGAGATCTCCAGGATTCCTGTTCGTTCAAGTCTCTAGGACGAGCTACGAAGCTAGTGTTGGGCGCATGCAATCTCCAGGATTGTCTGACGTTCAAGACTCTAGTTCGACCTAACACTTAGCCCTGTTGGAGCACGGATAATCTTCAGGTGAATATTACTAATTTACAAAATTTTACGCGTTAGAATTCTCGACCAGATCGTTCTTTCGAAAAGGAAATGACTAATGGTACTTCAACCTCGATCAATTTTTATGGAGACTCTCAGAACAATAAGGACTTAATAATGTCAAGTGCAACTAAAAGGAAGTGCGTAACGAATATTCACACAATAATAAACGAAAAGTATCACAAGAATCAAAGAAGAGGTGAGCAACAGTCACGTCAAAATTAATTACCAAGATTTTAATATACCCAACGCGAAAGAGCATCTGCTGGTTGCTCTTGTGATGATCTGCTGGTTCGGGGTATGATCAGATGACTTTCGCCAAGCAAAGCATCTGCTGGTATGATCTGCTGGTTCGGTTGAAGTCTTACTTCATCTAAGCAAGAGCATCTGCTGGTTGCTCTTGTGATGATTTGCTGGTTCGGATGAAGTTGTACCCTGCACCTATCACGAAAGTAGTCATGCTTGATGTATTTTTTAATTCTTTTAAAAAATAAATGAAATTTTCTCTCGCCCATCTGAAAATGATAATACGGATCATGAAAATGACGCTCCACAAGATGCACAAGACGATTACATGAAAGATCTGGAATATTTTGACAAACTCGTAGATAATGTAGGTTTATCTTACATCGGAAGAGAGGAAGAACTTACACCACCATGTGGAACCATGGTAGCTAATAGTTGGAACTCTTTCAAGATTGATGATATAATGATCGGATTACGATACTTCCTCTCGTCATATCACGAATCATCCGGAATAAAATTATTTATTCAATGAAGGGTGTAGACACGATAGTAATAGAATACAAAAGACAGCGGTCCATCAAAATTGATTTTATTTGTATCTATCAATAAAATAATTTTTCTTATTTTACACACTTGGTACGAAACTTACCCGTATGTACTCAATACTCAATAAACTTTACATGAATTATGTATTAATATAAATTCCTATCAATCTGATTTTCATGATGTGAACAAATCATATAAAGTCTTTTTGTCTGCAAGTAAAACAAATCAAACTCGAAGTAAGACAAATCATACAGTAAGTCATATTATCTGGAACACAATGTGGGTGAGCGGGAGTATAGAAACGCACGTAGACCTTTCTATTTCTTTGCATATGCAAATCGCCCATTTTTTCAGGTTCACTGATCGAGAAAATTTTGTAAATCGTTGGCATCTGATTTTGTCGTATACATAAACGAATTCACAATTTTCACATCATACTTTGCGATACTGAAATCAAACATCGTAATAAATAGTACGGTAAAAGTGGAGCGAAAAATTTTGGCTGTACTTTAATTCTTTAATGATTCGTTGCTAATCGCCGGAATCTATGTTATATTCAAAATCGCCCACTTTGAGCTTCTATTTTTTAATGTAAGCTTCAAGTGATGTATGGTAGTATTTAATAATGAAAGTTCATTACAAAAATCAAATACCTAATTTTGTAACTTGATTATTTATATAGGTTTGCTCTCGTAGACCTTTAATTAATAAAATAAGCTTTATTATTTGTTAAAGAAATCCATACCCATGTCTCTTTATTCCACACTAATAAAAATATCAAAAAAATTTATGTTTCCTATTTTTCTAATAAAGAATCAATGTCCCCTAACTCCTCCTTAATAGTCAAGTCCGGTGTCTTACATATGGAAATGAAACAACATGTATTATTATTTGCACATCCTTAAAACATAAGTCACAGTCTTATTTAATGGGTTATCCTGAATAAAGTTATCTACTGATTGTGACTGAAAGGTCATAGATCTCTTGATTGATGGTACGTTAGTCTCTGAAATTTCACCAAATTTCTTATCCTTAAGAAATTTTCTAAATAAAACGGGTATCAATCTCTTTAAAATATAATAAATCACGAATTACATGCTTTCTTGCTTGGTTCTGCAGGTCTAAATTTCATTTTGACTTCAGTTAAAAATCATGTAAATTTGATTGAAAATAATGAACCTAACTCTTATAATACCTTCAAATAGTGCCAACCGAGAAGTCATCAACCACAGCCTTTAGTTCTATAATGTAACCACCAACCATATCATATAATTTTTGCTTCTACCTCATTGATACTACGCTTCTTATTCGATTCTCTAAGGTCGACGATATCCATTACAGGGTTTTTTTGTGCAAGACCATGAACTATATAAGCTAAAAATAATTGGTTACACCACTATTTCCCTCTAGAACACAGAACTTACATTCAGTAATATACTTTCTATCATTAGCATTAAACCTTCTATTATCAAATGACAAAGCAGCGATAAAACTTACCACTCACATTGTCCAATATTCAACTGCAAAATTAATTGCTTTTCCAAATTCGACATCAAAAGTACGAGTCCCTTGTATACCTTTGTACTTCTTCCTAGCTAGTGTAATTTTCCTCCTCTACCGATCACATGATAAGATTTTAGCCCAATCAACATAAATTAAATTATTTATTTTAAAGAATGGTCAAGTCTTCATAAGGTTGAAGAATCTTTGGGGACGCTCTATGATTTAAGACGAGGAACCAATTGTCATCTGAAAATTCCCATATTAGGCGTGTAACCGTGTTCTATTTTCCACAGTCTCAATAAGAAGACGCTCATTACGGTATCGTTACTAACTAACAACGCCAGGAACAGTTAATTTCGCCAATATAGCAAGCCTACAAATGAGGTATTGAAAACTTGACCAAAACATATGTACAGCAAACCATAATATCGTACCAGAAGCTGTTTGCAATGGTTTTTACAAGCTTATTCGGGATTCATTCAGGAGGAAGTAGATTCTTCAGAAGTGAGGAGTTTATGATTGAGGTAAATCAAACTCAACATAAAACTGGACTCATATTCGGTGGTTAACAATGTGAGAAGGAAAATTGGTCTTATGAAAGAGTTTGAGCAACTTTAAAGACAATGGCAAAAAAATTAGTGGTTAAAAACTTAAAACTGATTATCCTAAAATTATTTATTGCATCACGATCGGCAAACATCACACTTTCTGATCAATAATTTAACAGACCGTTTCGAACAGTCTAAAAGTTGCACATAACTCCTAAATGCACGAAAAACCTGTGTTTCAGAAATTCAAGCCGTCTTATTCATATCCTATTCAACAAAAATTGCACAAAGTGTAAATTTTATATGAATAGACCATTAGGAGAACACCTATCCATGATACATCGCAGAAGAAGTGTTGTTGAAGACGGATATTTCGGATGAAATATTACGCAATTTTAAAAAGTCATGATTATTTTTTTTGATTGCAGCTGTTCATTTGCAATTTCTGGATTACAAGCTAATAGATAATTTTTCTTTCAGGATGAGAATCACATTAGCAACCCACGATAAAATTATTGGCGGTTTTACTAAGAAGTGTTATCTAGTGCTACATGTTTCGCGCAGACGAACATTTCTATTCTATCCAGATTATCAATGGTTGGAGTAGGATCACGGAGTTAATGTTAGAGTAGCGTGGTCGGCAGACATTAGTATGGCTTCGCTTTGTAAAGCCAATCTACATATCACTGTTACGAGCCAAATTATGTAATTTAATTTTTATGTTAGAATAGAGAAGAAAGAATTTATATAGTCGTTAAACTCATATGGCGTTGATGATAGAGAATATCATCAAACACCTTTAGGTAGCATACAAAGCATTAAAATAGACGCATCACTAATGTTGAGATTTCAACTGGCTTAAGAAAAATATCATAAAAATAAGAGCTCGAACATCTAAACAATCACAATAGAAAATGAAATAAGCCATTTTTTTTTGGAAAGTAATTTGAGTGATTTTTGGCCAAACCAACTACCTAGGGCATCTCCTTCAACAAGGCCATTATTTTCTATGTTTTATTCAGTTAATAAAGAGCATCATAGCGTTGATTAATTAATTATTATTATTTGAAAAAGTTCATTATTAAAGTCTTTTTTTCATGTTTTTTTTTTATTATAGATTTCGATTCTTTTTCATTATAATATATATATATGTATTATTTTCCGTGTCAATAAAACCGATCCCAGAGATCAACTTCACAACATATATTTGCATATATTTTGGATTGTACGGACGTTGATATCTGAGACATAGAATAATGACCTCTCCATATGATCGAGAATTTTTGAAAAATAACAGAATCAGATGCTAATCGAGCTTGCCTTTCAGAAGAGTTTGTGATCTTATACAACCTGGAATTGGAAAATGTCAAATTATCCGTATTGCAGCCGTAGCATAGCTTTTTTTTTTCAAACTTTCCCGCAAGTACTGGCTCAAGTTCCTATGGGTATGGGACGGGAACATGTCCCCGAACAGGACAGTATAGAACATTAAAAATCTTCTTGAACAATGTCTTACAACAACACGGCCTAAATGTATTTATTGATCTAGATTTTCGTGATCATATTATCCTACGGTTAAAAATTCAATTCTTGGATTACTACAAATCGTATAAAAAAGAGGTTCAATTTTATTCACTACAATATCAAAGGCAGAAAAGAGATGGAATAATATCCGCCGATAATTCGAATTGGCAAAAATATTATCAGCTTGAAATCTGACCAAAGTCTTTGTCTTGATGTTTTGGTAAAAAACTTTTCATGCTATTGAATGGTAAAACCCTTTTTTAAAAACTTTGTTTTTTATACAGGACGAAAGTCATAATGAGTTTTCACACCATCTTGCATATATAAGTGGACACTTGACAGAATCAGCAATTCAAGTTGATGGATCAGTAACAAAAAGTATCGATAATATGATAACGAATATGATGATATTAATATTGAAGTTAGTAATGACTCTCATGTAAAGATATTTCACGCTTATGTGGATATTTTTTCTCGTTCTCCTTACTAGGATCCTTCACGCTTCATGATAATTTAACAAACATTCCTCTACTTCCAACAATTAATAAAATTTATATTAAATAGGGTCAAAGATTTTGAATTATAATGTATTATATAACTATTTTTAAAATGTTAAAAAAAAAATAATATGAAAAAGTTTATTCTTTAATAATAATAATTCTGATATAAAATCTATAAAATCACTTATTTTTATACTGAAAAGAAAACTACTATAAAACTAGTTAATATGATTGAATCCATCATACGGGAAGAAAAAGACATTGTTCATTGTGATCATTATAATTAAAAAGAATAATTTGATTGAATACTTCAAGTGTTGGTTCATATCTCAGTAATCTCACTACTAAAAATAATAAATAAATGATTTCTACAATAATAATAATCATTATATATTTATGAACCTTGATCAAACATATATAGAATTTGTACTGATTTGATCCAAGATGTTACTGCCACAGTGGCTTGGAAATATTCTCAAGATACACAACAAGTATCAACCATCTTGATTCTTCTCTTACACACTTCAGTTGGAAACTGTAATTGATATACTGTTATTATAACGCCACCAGGCGACTTATATTTTTCTATCAACTTTGAGGTGTTTAATAGTCCATGATGTACCAACCTTATAGTAGGCCATAAACTAATTAATTATATAATTATTATTAGTTTAAAATTATCATATATTAGAAAAGTTAATATCAAAAAATAAATATTGAAGTAAATTACCTTTTCAAAAGATTGGGTAATTAAAAAATTTTTAAATATAACTAAAAATGAAAAGCAAAAGCACCTAGACATTGTACTTTTTAGTGGTATCCGGACTTTTCGCTGAAAGTCCTTTTCACCGAAACTCATTTCCCCGAGTGGGCCATTTTGCCGAAACCATTTCGCCGAAGCGGACATTTCGCCGAAAATATGGAATTTTTTTTCTTTTTTTTTGAGAAGACAAACGAATTATTTAATACATTATATTAAGTCACGTTTGTTTAAAAAAGAGAACAAAAATCATCATAAAATGAAAATGAAATAGTTTAGAGAATTAGTACTTTGAGCGTGAATTGTTAATGATCAAGGAAATATGTTAATCACTAACATTTTCGGCGAAATGTCCTTCGACGAAATGGACGATTTCGGGGAAAAGGATTCGACGAAATGTCCATTCAACGAAATGCACGTTCGGCGAAAATGTCCCTTCGGCGAAATAGTTTCAGCGAAATGGTTTTCGGCGAAATGAACTTCGGTGAAACGTACTGTACCCTTTTTAGTATAATACAGTATTTTGGTATATCAGAATATATGTTGTTATGTGTATAAACCATAATAAGAGGAAGTGAATAAACAGCAAGAAATGAATTTATGAAGTCAATTTTTGTTTATTTTGTAATATATTTCTTGTGGCACAGCAATGATTATCATTTTTGGGTCACTGCCTCAATATAATGCACATTTACCAAATTTTTATCGAAAGCGAAACAAAATATACTTTATCAATTAGCAATATTTTGCAATTTTCTTGATTATAAATTATCTTTTTTTTAAAAAAAAAATCTCCTGGTTAAAACGCCACGAAATTATTCAACACGACTACACTAAAATACAACACAGTAGAACATAATTCAACTTCCTTTATTTGTAGGTGCATCAATGTAACGTGATTCGTGAAACTTTTTTAACTAAAAAAAAACGCATTTCTAATTCGAAAACTTAATAAATTTTTTTTAAAGTTCTGTCTAAATAACTTTAACTAAAGTCAATTACAAGATATTACTAAACTACACCGAATAGAAATTATTTCAAATTTTGGGAGGAAGTATTTTGCGGATTTATAGATCGACATGTGATTTGTACACTTGACCAAAAAAATGTTACATCTACTCGGGTATTTTGCTTACCTTTTATCAACTTTTTAAATATTCTGAAAATAACTATTTATAATGTGAGGTTCTTAATTTGGAAAGAAACACACGAGGATTAAATTTTCACAATTTTATGGCTAATCTGACCTCGACATAGTAAGTAACAGTTGGATCAGAATAAACTTTGAACCAGATAAAATATTAAAATAAAAATTCACTTTAATTTAAAGAATAATTTCGCCAAAAGAATTATGTAAAGATTCTTATTAAGGTTGACAATTTAGTAAAAAGTTTAATTTCGTATTATAATAATTTGCTAAAGTGAAAGGCAAGAATGAACCATTGAATGGAAATTAATAATAATGACAGAAATGAAAAATGAAAATTATATTTTAAGTCATATTGGTAGCTTATTGTTTTGATATAATATATTTCGAAATTAAATTATATATTTGATTAGTTGAGACTTGTGATGTTACACTAGATTATAAACACGTGCGTAATATTTTTAAGTCATACCTCAAAACAAATCGGTATGCTTTAGACGTGATTTGAATTGTGTAAACTGGAAGTGATTATTTTCTCATTAAAAATTTCGATCAAATTTTATGCCAATCTGTAAAAAGTTTTTATAAACCATTATTATTTTATTCTAAATTCACAGATGGTTCAACCTTACATGTTTGTCGGTTGTATTTTGACAATTAAAATTGTGTATATGAATAAAATTTTGACTTTCCTATTTCTTTATTTATTGACATCAACAGATATGAGCTTGAAAATCGCGAATAAGAACATCTTTTTCTGGTCTTCCACAAAAGCTTCACATGTACTTGATGGTATTTCTCTTATTAATAACATTTGTAGGATTTTCTTTGATGTGAAGATAAGTTAAATTAATTATATTTTGGAATGGCCTTATTAAATCATGATGATTAATTAGAAATCGAAAAGTATTTATTGTTTGTATTATGTGTTATTAGGGATAAATTTGTGCAACAAGCAGGAGCAGGATTATTTGAGAATGCTTCTCAGACCATCGCGGTTGTATACAATGAAGAAAACATTTCCGTATCAGTTATAGCTCGGCCGTTTGTTTGTGACAATCACATGTAATATTTGATTCACAAAAAAAATTGAGCTTTTGTTTACAAATAAGGAAATTTTTAATATATAAAAGTTATAAAAACTTCAACTTTGACTCTTTACATTCTTTAAAAAATCTTCCAAGATTACAAAATGTCACACCCAGGACTCTTGTTAATTTCAACTGTAATCTCAATTCCTGAACATATTGAAGTTGGAAAGTTAATTGGTCGTGAAGGGCGTAACCTAAAACCTATTAGTGCTAAGACCGGTACATTTGTTAGTGTTAATACAAATACAAATCCAGCACAGATTGAAATTAAGTATAATCCACATTATTCACCATCTAACAATCAAATCAATGAAGCAAAAGATTTGTTAAATAATTTAATCAAGAATATTGAAAAGGAAGAGAAAAGGAATATACGTCTTTTGGAAAAGAAGAAGGAAAAAAACGTTGGATTTCTAGATGATTTTGATAGTGGTACTGTTAGCAACAATCGTGTGGTATCAAGATATCAAAAAGAAATTACTGTGAAGAAAGAGAAACAAAGATCTAAGAAAAAAATTTCGACTACTATTAAATCTTATATGGAAGGAGGACTGAAGGAAGGATGGGAGATGGAAATGGAAAATTGTTAAGACTATTGACTTATCTTATATATTAGAGTATAAGTACAGAAATAAATATATTTTAGAAGTTTTCACCTTTTTTTTTCATTTGGAATATTATTTAAGAGAATTTGTATTTACGCATCCTGCACAAAATGAACAAACGTATCCCTCTATGTTTGGCAATTTGAGATTAGGATATTAATTGTACAATGTGATAAGCCCTTCTATGTATTTATTTTGGAATTTCTTTTTTTTTGTAATTATATAATACTGCATTTGTGCAGGTGTGTAAAAAAAATAAAACTCCATTATTTGAATATTACTCATAAAAATATTAAAATGCATTCGTAATCATAAAATGTGTTAGTACAATTAAATGAAAATTTTATCGCACACAACGAACATGCGCTTAAATTATTGTAGTTAATGCGTCAATATGTTTATACATGCTATCCCACACTTTACTCTTCGTATTGAAATTAACGTAGAATCAACTCCGATGGATCGTATCATTTCGTGCCAGTAACGTAAATAAAAAGGAAGAAAAAGATCATAATATTTGGTAAAATATTAAAAAAAAATCTGAATTGAATGAAGCGATATTTAAATGTTGTGTATTTATATTAGTAATTGAAAGAAACACAAATTAATACTGATCAATTTTTAGACCAAATTAAAATAAAAATCATCTAGAATGTACATTGCTAGCTAACGCTACTTCTCCTCAAACAGCATTATCTATTCGGATAGTTAACTGAAGTGCAGAAATTCTGGTTCAATAAACTTCTACCGAGTTGACTTGTGACTGACTCAACTCGTTCATATATTATTAACTAGAAATTCAATCTCTACATTCTTACACTGCATCAAGGAATGTTTAAAAATAAGTGACATATTGCTTTATTTCCGAATAATATGCAATTGAGTAATACTTTTCAGTCAGCTAACAAATAGCTATGCCGTATTCTCATTAGTTTTATCGTTTTATCCACGAATTCTATAATTTTTATCTACGATTAAAATACCTAGCTAAACTAAAGGATCTTTCACAAGAAGAAATTTATTTATTGAGAATAATTTGAATAAACTGTTATGAGACCAGAGTGGTAAACGTATTCGTGGGTGGAATTTTATAATAATTGATACTAAGGAATTTTTAATTAGAAAATTCGATAAAATTATATATTATTGTCCGGAGCGAAGCGAAGGACTATATATGTCTACGCACTATGATGATCTATGGAAATAACGTGTAAATTTTCAATCACGTGAGTTTCTCTGTCCAGGAATTCCAAGGCGTTATGCTGCTAATCAGCAGAAAATTACCGGAATTCCAAGGCGTTATGCTGCTAATTAGTAGAATATCGCTACATCTTTATTTATTATACCTCGCTCCGGACTTACAACGGTTCCCGTTTCCTAGTTAAGTAATCCGATCAGTTCTCATAATCCGGGCCGGTTCGTCGGTTCGGATCCGCAATATCATAATTTTATATGAACCGAAATTATTGACTATTTTGGTGTTGATAATAATAATATTATCGAACTATTCATAAAATTTTCATAATAAAATTCCATTATTATCCAATAACTTTATTATTATGCCAATACATGGTAATACAGGGCGACCGAACAAAATAACAATTATGTTAAATATTCATAAGATTTATGAAAAATTCTCTCATATTGGATATTATTATTTTTTCGTCATAATAAACAATCTTCGTTTTAACAAAGTAATGATATTAGCTAACATGGCCAATAAGCTTTAGGACCTGAATTCAGTTTCTTAAGAAACATTATAGTTTGAATATTATTACAAAATTCATATAGGTGAATTTATAATATTATTTTCAAGCAAAAAAGTCGTTATATTCTTTTCATAGTTTTTAGGGATCGATTAAAAAATAAAATTTGAGGACAGAATGAAATAGCCAGATATATTTATCATTTAAGCAACTTAAAAATTCCTACTTATATAACATATTTTCGCGGAAGATCAAGGAGAAAATCCAATTAAGTAAACGAACACTAATAGATGACAATCTTTTCGTAATTCAAATTTTCGACTTGTTCACTCTCGCTAAGCTTGTGGAAATTCCGTCTATCTTTTGGAAATAAATTATTTCATATTAATTATAACCAGTCAATCATAGCTAATCTCTCAATATTTAAAAGTTACAAGGTTCACGTTTATTAATTTATTTGTAAAATAAATATTTTCTGATAATTAATGTAATTAATGATAATTAATGAAAAAAATTTTGAATAAATTCTTTACAATCTTTACAAGGGATCAATTGATAAATAAGATTGTTCTCCAGTTTGATTAACATTAAATCAAAAATACTTATCAACGGAAAATTGTATAGTCACGCAACATTTAACTTATTTTGAGCTAAAATTTATATATTACGAAGTCTTTAACGTGCACGCAAAATCGTAAAATGCATACATTTTTAATGTATAGTCGTTTACATCAAATTTACATCAAAATCATTGTGCTATTGTAAAATTCCAGACCAAAATACAGCATATCATTAGAATATCCTATATTTATAAGAAAAGAAGATAAGTTAAACTTTTTTTTAAATCAATTATTTTCAAAAAATAATGAATTATATATACCATGTTTGACTCATATAGTTGGTTTCTCTATGGTAATCTGATTTCTTTACCGGTTTGATTGTGTCCCATTTTACATCCTCAAATCGTTCATCATCATCAATCCAATCGCAAAATTTATTGTACAAAGTACAAGCATTAGGCCTATTTTTAGGATTAAAATTCCAACACTGATGCATTAAACTTTCAAAACACGGAGGAATTTCGTCGTCTTGATAAATTGTTGGTTTAAGCCCTTCAGAAATTTGTCTCATTAATCGTCTGTTATGAGCTCTTTCATAAAAAGGAGCTCTGTTAGTTGAAACATGATACATAATGCATCCAAAACTATAAATATCCGCTTTTTTACTATACGGTAATTCTTTAAGGATTTCTGGCGCCATAAAGGCCATTACACCACGAAAACCATCGTATTTTTTCTCATTTTCTTCTTCTCTACAAAATCCAAGATCACCAATCCATGCAATATTTGGGTCATCTTTATCATCATCAATCATTATATTTCCACTATGCAAATCTCCGTGAACTAAATCTTGATCATGAAGTATGTAAAGAGCGTAAGAGATGTCTCGAAGAATTTTTAATCTTTCTTCCCAATAAATTTTTTTCCATTTTTTATATAAGTAATTGCTCAAAGAAGATTGTGAATAATATTCCATGACAATACCATATTCTTCATTATCATAATCATATGTAGCACCATAATAATGAACGAGATTTTTCTCTGATATAGTGTCATCCTCACTAGAACACCTTTTTATCATTCTGTGAATATTTGTAAACTTTTTTTTTTTTAAAAAAAAAAAAGATTAAAAAATAAATTTAGATGATTTTACGTTCCCTTTTTGATCTCCTCTTATTTTCAAAAGAAAAAAAAGGTTGTTTACCTCTCTTAAAAATTCTCTATCATCATGAAAAAATTTCACGGCAACAGTATCTGTATAGTTTCTTTTATACCATCTAGCCTTATGAACAACTCCAAATGCTCCTCTATCCAATTCATGTAAGACTTTTAAACGGGAAGATTCTATCCATTTAAGGAAGTCTTTAGCATTTTTCCTATTATTTTTCGATGCAATAATCATGTCATTAACATTTTTATTTCCACTGTTAAAACTCATTGTTGTTTTAATAAATCTTTAAAACACGTCTTTTGTTCACTCAACAAAAAAAAATTGCAAATGTACCATATTTATTTAACAAACGCTTGAATTAATTTTAGTTATTAGTCAACCATGATTATTTCATAATTGGAAATATTGAAGCAATGTGTTTTCTAAATAAACATTATTTAAAAGGGTTATTATCAATTTATGCCATATGACACGACATATGACATATCATATGACAATAATATTGACCTAATCAATTCGCGCTATTGACAAATCGGATTCAATCCCAACCGATCAAAATTCTATTGGTTACAACATAAAGCCAAGAATTTTAGTATGTATTACATAAATATTTGCTAAATACAAAAGATTATATGCAGAATACAAAAAGATTATATGCAGATAACATAATTATTTATTTTATTTCAAATAACATTTTTAACAATAAAAATTTTCCCTGCAGTATTATCAAAAATTGCATTAATAGTAATAATGTAATAATCAAAAAAAAAAAAATTATGCCGGATCGCATTGACTTTCAAGTCATGCGTTTTGTGTTTTAACATTTGATCATTTTAAGTTCACATGTGAAAATCAAAATCTTTTATGCTCTGGCGATCATCAACCAATACTTTTTTGTACCAATTTTTTACGAAAATCGTCAATTATTTACTATTTCAAAAAAATTCGAAATGTTCAAAGAAAAACTTCATTATTATGTTTAACAAAGGTGTTCGTTCATCCATTTTATCGTACGATTTAATACAATGTAAATAATAATATAATAATGACAATCAATAATTCTCTCATGATAAATGCACTATCATCTAGCTAAAGAAGAATTATTATCACATGAAATTGGATAACGAAATAATAAAAATTAGAGGAAACATTCCTAGATTAACAGAAGAGAAACTGGTAGGTTGGTAAGGTATCGAATTTTAGGCTTTATTCTTATTACCGCCAAATATACCACCAACTGATAGTTGTTAGCCGAGACTGTCAACTTTAGCGTAAATACAACAGGCCAATGATAGTATATATGATTAATATTGAAAAAAATGTTCTCGCTTCTATAATATAAAATTTTATTAAATAATATTTCTTTCAGCCAATTATAATTACCATTGATTTAATTCGTATGAGGGAATGATAAAAATTCCATAACGTTTCTTTAACATTTTTAATTCTTTAATCCCCTGAGAGGTCATATCATCCATTCCAACTATTCCTAACGTTTTAACAGTTTTCTTTTCTCTAATAAATTTAGTAATAACTTTTATATGATCATAATTCAAATCTACATAATCAATTATAATGGTCTCTAAAGGAGCATTACAAGTTTTAAATAATTCTTTAAATTGATCAATAGTAAATCCACAACTTAATTTTAAATATTTTAAAGAAGGAGGTAAATCTTGTCCAGTTAATTTCATATCTTCATAATCTAAATTTTTTGAATTGATAAAAATTTCTAAATTTTCTAAACTTAAACCAAAAAATAATTGATAAAATAAATAATTATTATCATGAGGAAAATAATTGGCTAATTTGATTTCTTTAACATTTGGACAACAATCCAATATTATTTCAACAATTATTGAATTAATTAAATCAATTTCTAATTCTTTTAAAGAAATACCTCCAACTTGTAAAATTAATCCTGCCACATCACTACAAATTGGTGAAAATCCTAATCTCAACTTTTTTAAAGAGAATTTAGATTTTAATAATACTGAAGTATTTTCAATATATAAACCTCTACAATACCATAAACTTAAATCTTTTAAATTTTCACAAAGAGCTAAAGCATTAAAACAAGCTTCCGTGATATAAACATTTTCCAATCTTATTATATTTAAAGTTTCATGCCGTGATTGTAAAGAAAAAAGAATTCTTTCGCTTCCAATTCTAACTCCAGATAAGTTAAATTCATTTAAACATTTTTGAGTACTAATTATACGTGAAATAGATTTATGATTATGTTCAAATATAGGAAATTTGATATCAAGACAACGTATATTAGAACATAAATATGGTAAATTTTCTAATAATTTTATGGTATTCGTTGTCATTGGTTTACAATAATCAATTTTAAATCTGGTCAGATGACTTAATCCTGGTTGTTCGATAAACGTGGAAATTTGTGGAATATCTGAGTGACTAAAATATTTATCTATAATAAAAGATTTTAAAGAAATTGATCTCCTCATAAATAATTTACAAAGTGTTGTAGCGATTAAAAGAATTTGATCTTGCTTATGATTATTTATAAATGTTTTATTACACCAAATATGAATGGTAGAGTGTACCGCAATTTCTAATTGTTTATAAGAAAATTCTTCTAAATACATTGAATAATTGAAAAGCGGTTGTCTAATTTCAGGAATTTTTATATTATAAGATTGTAATGATGAACTTAAATTTAAATAATCTTCACGATCAAGACATGCGAGATATGTATGAATTAATTTGTAACGATTCTCAGTTGATAAAGCTTCAAAAGGACGAGACCATAATAAAGGTACTATATTTTTACACCAATATCGATTGACTAAAAGGCATGAATACAATCCAGAATCTTGAGCTTGAACATGTTTAAATATTTCTAACATGCATTCTGTTGGTAAGTAAGGTGCAGGTATATCAGAACGTTTTCCGTGAAATAGATTGTTTTCAACAGTATCTGCAGCAGTAGATCCAACAAAATTAAGGATAAATTGTATTAAAAAACAATAAGTAGATGACATTTTCTAAGAAGTGAATTTTAAAAAGATTTTTCGAATAAAAATCAAAAAAAAGTTTTTTTTTTTTTTTTCTTGACTGTTATATATCTATTATTCACAAGTCGTACAAAGAAAAAAGAATCATATTGCCTAAATGTGAACAACATCATTGTTTCAAAAAAAAGTATATTGAAATGCCTATGCGAGATATCACCCATTAAAATATTTCCATTGTTAATTTGTTGATTTATACAGCAATTCAAACTGTTGATCTCAGTGAATGTATCTATTGAAGTAATTCCCTGCAAGTATATAAAAAAAGAATAATGTATATGAGTTTGTTTGCATAATTTTTTTTTTTAAAAAAAAATAGTACATGCCCTTTTTTTTTGTTTTGCCCACAGTACTATAATATTGACAGGTAATTTGCTCATGAAACTTAAAAGTGAAACACTTTTCAAACATACATGACGATTGACGTCTATATGTAGGATGAAAATTATTTCCGTACGTAAAACATCCTTACCCGGCCTGCATGTTCATGACCTTGTCATACTAAATGCGGTAAAATACGTCACAAGTAAAATTTACTATAGCGAGTATAAGGTAAAATAATTTTTTATTTTTTAAAAAAAAAAACGTACAAATCATACAATCATATACAAAGTAGTTTAAGAAAATACAAACAGACATCCTGAAAATATTTAAAAGAATAAAAGGGGAAAAGAAAAATCTACAAAAAAAAAAAAATACAAAAACAAGGGGAAAAAATATACAAAGAAACAAACGCGTTAAAGTTATGGTGATTGCTCACCACCAAAAAAGTAATCAATCTCAGAAAATAATGGAGGCAAATCACAAGAGTAATAAAGTGGTTCTGAATGAATTTCATTTCCATAATAGATATCCGGATTAATTGAAGGAGAAGGAGAAGAATCAAATAGATCCTCATCAGATGATAATTGTGGTAATTGTAATGATTGTGGGGATTGTGGGGATTGTGGTTCGAATTGCTGGTATTGTGGAGACTGTGGTGTTTGTGGTGTTTGTGGAGTCTGTGGTGCTTGTTGGTATTGGTATTGATAGAGTAGGAATAGTTCAGATTGCGGAGATAGTGGAGATTGCGGAGATAGTGGTGATTGCGGGGATAGTGGTGATAGTGGGGATAGTGGAGATTGTGGGAAAAATGGAGATTGTGGGGATAGTGGAGATTGTGGGAAAAATGGAGATTGTGGAGATAGTGGAGATTGTGGGAAAAATGGAGATTGTGGAGATTGTGGAGACGGTGGCCATTGAGGATTACTGGGATTACTGGGAGGAATTTGAGGAATATTCGATTCTGGAGATTCCATGATGAAATTCTCTGCTAAGATTGGATTGGCGATGATTGAAGTGGTAGTACTTTTAGTCTTTCTACTCTTTTTGGTCGTAGATTGTGATGATGACGCAGTAGCATTAACAAAAGTAATATCCGATTCTGAAATGGACATATCCAGTCCATTAATAACGTCAAAAGACGACCTATAAGATGAATTTAACTTAGTACGTTCTGCCTCTTGATCCCAGTATTGTTTTATTTCAGGAGGTTCTTTTTCCCACATTCGAGCAACCATTTTTGATAAATCCCTCATATTAGCAGGATTATTTGGATCGGTATTGATCCTATTTTGAATATGTTTACGGTAAAGAATGAAACGATTTGGTGACCGTGGAGGTTTTGACGAATTCAATTGTTTTTCAATGCGTTTATGTCTTCTCCTCTCGTTTTTTTCATTTTTGCTTTTCTTTTGCCTATTATTTTTAGGCGTTTTTATTGTTGATTTTAACATGTTAATCTAAAGATTTTTTTTTTTTTTTAAAAAAAAAAAAGAGATATAGGACTTAGTTAATTTTTGTTTTCGTTATAAATATTTACAATATGTACAATAATAGGTAATTTTATTATAATCAATGATTAATATAATATTTTTTCAAATGGAAGGTGAACTCCGGAGAAATTAGTTGGGCATTTCAAACGTCTTTTATATTCTTTTGTTATGGTTGTGGCATCCTCCATTAAAATCTGTTTACATTATAAAAGGAAGAAATAATTCATACGAATAAACAAATAAACATAAAGCCGAAGATAAAAAAAGAAATAAAAGAATAATGAATTTTAATTGTTAAAAAAGACCCTAAACACGGTAAACTAATATTCTTTTCTTTCTTTATATAGAAAGTACCGTTTTACTAATACATGTCGTAAATATCAAAGATAAGACTTACATTATTTATTTTCACAAGCAACAATCCAAAAAAGTAGATATTCCGTATAAATAAATATTTATCTAACGTAAAAAAAATTTCTTTTTATTTCTAAATGCTTTGTTTAATAGATTTTCTTAATGGGCTACACGGAGTTGTAGAACCGCTCAATTGAGAGAAAGAGAACAAGTAAAGTTTGATTTTTTGTTTCAGTAATCTTGTCACATTTTATTTATGCATTTTATAATCCGTGGCACGATAAAGCATGCTTAAACCCTTAAATATTTATTAATACTTTGTGTGAATTTATAATCTTAATTCATTATATTTCGTACAAAAAAATCATAATATCTAAATAGGAAACAGGAGAAATCGAGACTTATTATTGGTCAATAACTTCCCTCATATAAGATAATAGCTATAAATAACTATGAATAAACCTGTTTTTTGTGTAGCGCAAATCTTCAATGATCATATGCGCACGGGTTCACAATTCCCGGACGCCAAAAAAAAAAACTATTAAAACTATTCTAGAAAGTAAAAAAAGCAAAGTATGAAGGATTTTCTTTATTTCTATATAAAAATTCATTATTCTTTTATATATTATAAAGTTCGTGCGACAAGCTGATTTTTACATATAAGCATAAATATGTAAAACATAATCTATCCGAATATGGCAGGAATAGGATAAAGTTCATGTGTGTTGCATAATAGTATTATTGTAGTTTAGTGGACGGTTCATAATAAGACCGTTTTGAACACATGACATTATTCTCAATGACAAAATAGTCAAATAATTATAATCTTTTGAGTATCCGATGGATTATCATTTTTTCATGGAATTTTTTTTTTTAAAAAAAAATCAAGAATAGAAAGTAAAACAAAGCGAATAATTAATTACTTAATCTTGGCTAATGATGAAGTAACTTAACACCGCATGTTAATTTAGATCGAATGAATTAACTCCGAAATTATAAAAATAAAATCATTTAAAATTTAATAATTTATTTAATAATTTTTAATAATATAAATAATTAATAATTTTTGTACTTATTTATAATATATATATATATTATATATTAATTAAATAAAAATAGATTTTAAAAAATCTATTTATAATATGTTATGCCTTTTCTATAAAAAATCTATATAATGTATATAATGTATATTCAATCATTTCATGTTTAACGTTCCAATTTCCATCAATTCTTAGTTGTTTTTCTAATTTTTTACTAATCGTTTCACAATCATCAATAATTTCATCATTTCTGATTGGTTCAATATTCGTAAGAGTGAGACTTTCCAATTCATTGCATGATGATAATAAATATTTCAAGAAACTTAAATCTTCAGTTAATTTGAAAATTGTTGTTAATGATTTAATTTTTGGACATGATTTCGCAATAGAACGTAATAATACTTGAGTATCAGAATTCTGATAAATAGGGTATGGATACATAGAAGAATATGACTCCAAGTAGAAACATTGTAAATGACCTTCAGTCTTTTCTATAAATTCTGCCAAAACATTTAAAGGTGGGAAATCACGATGAAATTTTAAAACTTCCAAGAGTGGACAAGTTACGTTCCGGAATGTAGCAACTATTTGAGGAGAACATAATGTAAATGTAAATTCTAAACGTTTTAAATTTGAAAGAGTTTTAATTTGTACAAACATGAAATTTTTCATAATAAGTTCCTCAATATTTGAAAGAATTTGTGTTGATAATTCTTCGGTAATTATTTGACATTGATTTAAATCATTCAAGAAATGTATAATTTTTAAATTTTGTTGAACTTTAAAGAGATTAACCAATTCTTTAGAGTTATTAAATGCATTTGTAATAATTCTAATCTTTTTAATTTTTTTACAAACATGAACTAATTTTTCAAAGAATTTAACCGTGGTAAAATTACAAATTTCTAATTCTTGAAGGTTTGAAAGATTATTAAAATTCTGATTTTTAATTATTATTTTAGGAAGACTTGATATCCTAATTTTCCTAATTTCTGTACAATTCTCAAAAATTATTTTATAAATACTAATACATAGAATTGATGAAACTTTTCCTACATTTTTACTGGTTACTGCATGAGCACATTTATCGACAAATCCATAAAATTCGGCGAATTTAAAAATTCTGCAAAAGTTAAGATAATTATAAAATGATTGTTTATAATTAAGATGAATAAGTTCATATTCATATAATTTTAATTTTTCTTCTATAATTTTATCAAAAGGAAACATTGAAATAATTGTTGTAAGTAATTTTCTCGAATTTTCTCTTTTACGAACAATTGAAAATGGATCTTTCCATAAATAAGGTATTGCAGATTCACACCAAGAACGGTTAACTAGAATACATTTAAATAATATATCTTGATCATTATTATATTCGAAAATTTTAAAAATATTTTGTAAACAATCATAATTAAGTTCTGAAGTCATTTTTTAAAAAAAATTCTTTTAAGAAAAAAAAAGAATTTTTTTTTTTTTTTTTAAAAAAAACAGGAAATCATACTCTTTTATACATATAAAGATGTTATTGTTTCAAGTTTTAGTAATAAAATTGTTTTTGTACCCTAATTTTGATCATGTAAATTCTATAATAGTCAATTGATTGTTATCTAATGGTATTACCTCATAGTTTGTGTGTAATTTATTAGTTGGATACCGAACAAACCAAACTTTAAAGAAATGAACCAAATTTTTTTTTTAAAAAAAAATATATTGTTTAACCGCTTTTTGATTTCTTCCGGTAATAAAATGAATGGGACGTTTTTTTATTTGGGATCCGGTTTAATTTTAATTTCAGCCGAAACTATAATTTTGGCCAGAATTAATAAATTTCAGAGTATGTATATTTCAGTATATGTTATTTTCGAATTTCGTAAAAAAGCGAAATAAACGAATTCAATTGAAGATTAAGGCACAAAAGTTAGTATCGAAGCTTCTACCGAAACTCGAGCTTGGTACAAATAATTATTATACTACCATCATCTTCCCCCTTCCCCCACCATTATAAATATTTGAAATATAATAATATATCCTTTTCAAAGTTAATTTCTTGATAATAATTCGATTAACTTACGGTTTTCAACGAAAAAATCACCAAGAAAGAACGAAGAAATAATTGGTATAAAACATTAATAAAGTAAGCATGAAACAAACTTGTCTCGTATAATGCGTATAATGTCAATTTATTTTGTAAATTAACATATATTAACATATATTATAATAATTTATAAATTCACAATTTTAAAACAGTACTGTAATTTAATAAAGTTATTATCGATCCATTAACAGTTTTGTTCTCGCTATAGCTTTATTTTTCATTTATACACGATAAATCGACTAAACAAAAAATATAATCATGCAACCTTTCTCCGAAAAAAAAACAATATGAATAACGCTTAAAATATTTACGGTAATTATTATTCAATTATGAAATTTATTAAATTCTATTCGCCTACCATATTCACTAAATTCGCTACTAACCTTCCAGTTTTCATCTATCGTTCTCAGAACTTCTTGTAATAATGTTAACCTTATATAATCAAAGCTCATGAGAGTAAGACTTTTTAATTCATTGCATGAGAGCAATAAATGTTCCAAGAGGTTTAAATCTTCAGTTATATTAATAATTATAGCTAATGATTTAATTTTTGGACAGGATTTCGCAATAGATTTTAATAATACTTGTGTGTCTAAATGCTCATAAGGGTGATCCAAATGTAAACATTGTAAATGACCTTCCGTTTTTTTTATAAATTCAGCTAAAACATCTAAAGGTGGAAGACTATCATCAAATTTTAAAACTTCTAAGATTGGACACGATATAGTCAAAAGTGTCGCAACTGTTTGAGAAGTCCATTCACTAACAGTAATTTCTAAACGTTTTAACTTTGATAAAGTAATAATTTGCCCATTAGGTAATATGAAATTTTTTATACATAGTTCCTCAATTGAATGCATTTGTATCAATAATTCATTGGAGATTTGAAATAATTTAAACCGACTTAAAAGATATACAGCTTTCAACCCATGTTGAACTTTTAAAAAATTAATTAATAACTGAGAATTATTAAATCCACCATGTAAATTGATTACGATCTTCTTAATTTTTTTACAAATATGAGCTATCTTTTCGAGGTATTGAATTTCACCAATTTCTAAGACGCAAAGATTTGAAAGATTATCAAAAGATTTCATTTTCATTATTCTTTTAGAAATGGTTAATAACGTAATTTGTTTAATCCCGCTACAATTCTTAAAAATAATATCATAAACATGATATGATAAAATAGATGAAATCGTTCCTTCTTCATTTTCGTTATTTGTCTTATGGTGTGTGTAATTCCGAGAACATTTGTCAATAAATCCATGAAATTCGATAGATTTAAAAATTTTTATAAACCTCAAATAATTGTAGAATGATTGCTCATACTTATGATAAGTAACTTTATAGGTTTTACATGAATTTAACTTGTCTTCCATACTTTTTTCAAAAGGAAACATTGAAATTATTGTTTTAAGTAATCTCCTTGAGTTCGCTACCCCTTTACGATAAACAATTGAAAATGGATTCTCCCATAAATAAGGTATCGAAATTTCAAACCATAAACGATTGACTAGAAGACATTTGAATAATACACTTTGATTAGACTCAAGACATTCCAAAATGTTACGAAAACAATCGTGATTAAGTTTTGAAACCATGGTGATTTTTTTTTTAAAAAAAAAAAGTGAAAGAGTTGAAACTTATTAGAAGAATATTCTTTCCAAAATGGTACTTCCTTGGCTGCAGTCTTATCAATTCGTCCAATCGACAATTACATCAAATTTTATCTTTTATTGTAATTTTTTTTTTTTAAATTCATTTAAGGATGTTGAAGCCAACATACCAAAAAAAAAAAGAATCTAATACTAACGGAGTATTCATTTTCCTTAAAATTTAAAATTTAATGCAATGACGCCAAAATTTCCATGGAATTTGGAGTAAATATTAATGCTGATCACGGTAATGAACTAACAGATATGGTTTTATTAAATTCAAAATATTTGTCAATATATATATTTATAGGCAAGGTTTGTTAATCACCATCTCATCTCAATTAAAAAAACATTTATCCTAAGATATCCATGATTTTCGTAGCGAAACACAATCACGTGTTTTACATTCCGTCCATTCGAGAGAGTTATTAGCACGCTTAATGTTTACATTAAATAAATACAGACAAAGAATGACACAAATTTAAGACATCGAGATAAACTGCTTACTTCAGAGTTTTCACAATTATCCAGCATTTATTCATTTTATTCATTTATTTTTTATTATGTTCTTGAACTTCAGCTCATTTCTTCCAAAAATCACAGCATTTCTGCCAGACTCTTATCAATAATACCAAGGTGTACGCTAGAGTCATGGTGGACCTTTCAAGAACCGAACATTTGTAACATCTGACATGTTTCTCGCTCCTTAATGAGCAATCTCCGTTAGTTAAAATGTGCAATATCGGCTTATTTGTATATTGTTTCGTTTGTCAGAAGCCTTGATCGCGTCAGTGTTGCGGCCAGAGTCTTAAATTGCAATAAATGTAATTAGAGCTACAAACATTCCGGTGAATATCCTAACCTTACCCTAAACCTTTACATCTGCTTAAATAACTGATAATGGGACGGTGCGGGTTTTATGTAGATAAAGACGCTTTATAACTATGGTATGCTAATTCAATAACATTAGTCGAAGTAAAATGCTCATCATAAATTCGTTACGCGCATTATGTACCGTAAATGGTTGACTAAAGTAGTACCCCACCCCATAGCATTCCCACAAAAAAGTATTATATTTGAGAGTACTATATCGTGAAAATATGGATCTTAGTCCCCAAATTCAATGTAATTTGTGTGGTACTTGAGTATCTTAGTCAACCGTTTGTTTAAGCGTTATTATTTAATAAAGATGTAAAGGATTCCAATTCTTTTAATACGTATAAATAAATGATAATAACGTGAATAGTCAATTAGGAGGAATAAATTTAGAAAATGAAAATAGCGTCTACGAATTTTATAGTATGGTCCCATGGACCTTCTAAGAGGGTTCTGGAAACTAGAACTGAATATAGTCTAAGATGACATAGACAGCTGCCTCCAGTGATGGCCGACCCAAATACTGGTCACGTGCTATCTGGGCCATCTCGACAAATGACCTTAATCATTTAAAAATTACATCATAATTCTGGCCAAAACTTATATCACGTGATAATATAAATTAATTCTGGTCAGCATAATACATAAATTTGGCCTGAATGACTCAAATGCCGAATGACTAGTCATCACTGCAGCGGCGCAGCACCAAGGGAACAAATATAACATATCCGCAGAAACCTTAAAAACAATGCTTTATCATTGCTTTCTTCACCACCTTCGATTAAAGTTCTATTACATGCAACTTGAAGCAGCAAATTCAAGTACCAAGGCCAAACATAATTATTATCGCGATTTATTTACTATAATAATTTCTGCTATAAAATTTTAAAAGTAGAAAGTCAGAATAATTTAAATTTCCAAAAGTTAACCCGATAACTACTTATAGGAGGGCGTGAGTTTTAACTTTGGAAAAATATAATTTTTTAAAAAGGGCCAAACGCCAAACGCCAAACACGAATTCGTATTTATCAATCAAGAAATGTATAGTAGTAGAATTTTCAATTTAATTTTTTTTTTCAAAAAAAAAAAAAAGAAATCTTAGATGATAAAGCGTTAAACTATCAAGTATCAATTGCCTAAATTTTATAATGCTATCATAAATTATTTCGTGAATCAACGCGATTTACTGTAGCAAGTAAAGCAGAAACTTCTTTGATAGCCTATATAAACATTTCATATTGAAGAATCTAGTTACGTATTCTTATATTCTTATAACATTACCTACTTAACAAGTTGATTAATAAATCGATGATAACGGATAAAAAAATATAATCTGAATCATAAAACGATTCTACAATCATGATGAATCTTTTTTATTTGAATCTTTTTTAAAATTTCTAATGATTCATAAAAAAAAATAAAATGTATTTTTATTGACCCATTGGTCTATCAGCATCGTGGTTTATCTACTTTCAAATCGATTTAATTGGTTTGATTTTATCCTAAGTCGAGAATCGGACCGTTAATAACAACGGCACTATTAACAAATACTATATAATTAAAATATTATTTCTTATTATTATTAGAATAATCTTTAAATTAAACGGTTGAGCATTTTTTATTTAATATTTTAACGCCACGTCCAATATAATCTTTGCTGGATGGAGGATACATGAATTTAACTAAATGCATACTGTATAGCGCTGCATACAGTACCCCCTTGTAATAGTACCCCCTTCAAATAGTACCGGGGTATTATTCAAATTCACATTCGGGTATTTTTGAAAAATACCCCGGTACTAATCAAAATTCGATTTTGAATAGTACCCGGATACTAATCATATTCTGACTTAAAACTAATCAAAATTTATGTACTAATTTATTTAATTGTAATAAAATCAATGTACCCCCCTTCCAATATACCCCCTTTTAATAGTACCCC